TCAAATTCCTTCACCTAGTGCCAATCTCCACTGATTGGTCTTACAGTCACTTAACCAAACCCAGCACTGGAACAACTGCTTCAAAGGGACTTTTGAAAAACAGTTTCAAAAGTCTGTTACATTTGCCAATCACTACTGACTGGACTTACAGAAAAATACAAGAAAACCACATTGGAGAAATGCATGCTGCATGTGAGAAACACAAGTCACATGACTTACGGCTCAACTAGTACAAGGTGAAGTTTATCAGTTGCAGCAGCACAAGGTAGCACATGGTACTTGATGTGCATCATGCTTGACACTGCAACCTGGGATGTCCTGTACATTACAAGACATTACGGACTCGATTAAAAACTCATTTGTTGAAAGGAATGCTGCACAGGAATAAGTAGAGAAAGACTGACAATACCTTTGCCTGGTCCTGAAACAAGGATGCAACCTCTTCACAGAACCACTGCAAAGATGAGGTTAGCAAGGCCCAGGCAGGAAAGAAATTTCCTTCCCCTAGAAATATGACACAACACTCCTTGATGTTTTTATGTTTCATCTTTCATCAAATATTGTGACTGCTCCAATGCTCAAAACAATTCCTTTAATATATAAATCTATATGTTTCATCATAATGAACTTAATGCTGCCTATTGTTCAGATTTTTAGGCATAAGAACTGAAAGTATTTATGTCAATAAGCAGCCCTGAAGAGAATCTTAGGTAATATATGTACATTCCAAATGACCTATACAATCATAATTGAGTGTAAAATGTCTTGCTTCATTTTAAGGGAATGGGTCCGCGACTGGTGTTCAGGCATCACTTTTTTCTCTTCCTTGAGCAAGCACCATCTACAAGCAAAGACAGACAAACAGATGATTATCGGTGTTTATAAGAAGAATACGTCTTTGCAAGGAAATGTGCAGTAAGCCTAACCTGCAAGACACAAAGGAAAGTAAAGACCAACAAGAAACTTTAACCTATGGTTACAAGGATACACATCCAATTTACCATCTTAGTCTTGATAAGAGACCCGGAATCACATCATCTGACGTTTATCTCTGCAGTAACTCCTGCACTGGGTGATGCACTTTGCTGTGAATTGTAAATATCAAAGAACAGAGAAATAAAACCGGAGCTATTTCAGCAACGGCATGAGAAGGAAAGGTCAGTTGGGAGACCATCATGCATCAGCCATTAATAGGCTGATCCATACGCTCTCAAGTCATCAGAAAATAGAGGAGGGGAATGTCCCCAGTTGAAAAAGTGGGTGGCAACTTTCATCCCTTCCGCTACCAGTGCTTAGAGTTAAAAGAGTTTATTGCCCAAATTACAAAGCGTGTACAGGTGCTCATTCAAGTTCTGGACACACTGGATCAACGGTTATTGTTTTTGGATGCAATATTATTGAAGATCTTAACAAATGCCATAAAAAACTGTACCACTTGAAAATTGGCAATGAATTCCTAAGCTGGTGGTCCGAAAATCAGACTGTCATTTAACTAAAATTTATGTCTAAATATTTATTCTGTATATGATGAAATAATCAGATGACCAACAGTAAATATCAGTATAAGAATGGTTACCACAGTACTGACATCACTGTTGGTGTATCATGCTTGCAGTAACAACCTCAGATGTATTGCATATAATAAAGCTATTTGTTTGTTGACAATTAACTTTTATTCTTATAAAATAAAAGTTAAGCACTTTATGAGAAGGACCTTTCAGGTTTCATTGGTATACATCCATACAAGACCAAAGGCTCCAAAGGAAAGGACTTATAAAATGGAGACTGGTACTGTCTTTGCCTGATCAAAAGAAGGATAAAACCATACACTTTACAGAATTAATGTGAAGATGGACGTAACAATGCCAGGCAGAAGAGATTCCCTGACCCAAAATTAATTATAAGTTACATGGATTATGAGCACCAGTGTGAAATTTAATTCACAAGTCACTGCTGTACTGATTAACATTCTAAATGGTTTTGTCATTCAAATATTTACCCTGAATAAAGATTAGTGAGTCCATGGTCCATGTAACCAATGTCCTCCTTCAAAACTAATGAATGCGTGGAAAACTGAGAACCTTGTCCAATCTGTACAGACTGGACCAACAGGTTATCAAACAAATTGACCAGAGGAAAACTTCATTGTGTGTGACTGAAAAAAAAGAAAAGCGGAGCCGATTTTTGCCATAGAATTATCAAATTGATGCATTAGCAGGCTTTATACTTTACAGAAATTGATGTTATGAACAACACAAAGTCACATGACTGACTTCATCAATTAATGTTAGCAGAAGTTTGTATTGGTTACACTACATTCCTTTGTGTTACATGTGTTACAATCCTATCTTGTGTCATTCCCTTGAAATGACACGCCTACTGTACATGTACATGTACAGCTGCACTACTAATTCACGTAGCCACCCATACATTCGACTGGCACATGAATGGCTTTTGGGCCACACGCCGAAAGCGCGTGCCATCTGTTTCATGCAAATTGCGTACTATCTGATTGGTTTGTTACGCTGCCTCAGATGGTCACCAACGCGCATACAATTCATATGTAAATTGGGGAACTGCCGAATTTAATTGGTCCTCTGACTTCGCTCATCTATTACACTAACCACGCCCACTGACACGCGAGTGAGTTCACTCGCCTCTCCTTCAGCTTTATTCAAATGTAAATTCACCTGCAAGACCAAATTTAATTGGTTCTTGAAAATTCAGGCCAGTCGCCTGCTGAAAGGACTCATTAGTGAAACAAGCAGACGAAAATCCACTCACTAAACGGCGGGAAAAGTTGAAAAGTTTTTGTGGCAATAAGTTGACCTGCAGACTACAGTTGGACTCTAATTGTTCGTACAAAATAAAGAAACAAAATCAAAGGATTGATTTTAACGGCACATTTACGGCTGTTTCGGCGATACCACAAAATTGTGTATTCGTCTGTACATTATGCGATGAATTTTGATTCGTGTTTTACTGAAGGCAACGGGGAATATGGGGTTTGCGGGCATTTGGGGGTAAAGTGTTATTTTTCATTTTAATTTTGCTCTAAGTTAGGAAAATCAGCTAGTGAAATGGGTACCAGTCACACAAAATCATGTCTGAAATTTTGCTCACCTCTGTTGTTTATACACTTACCAATGACGACCTCACAAAGTTCTTGTCCTTGAAGGTGAAGCTTAAACTGTTAAATGGTCTCCACCAGCATGTCCAAAATCGTCTTTCAGACCACAACACAGCAGCAAAGTTCAACTTCAATTCAGTCACGAAGGCCAGCTGTTCGGAGGCCTATCGTCTGGTTTGCGTTTTCGCTTGAGTTTGACATAAGTTTGTCTCTTGAAAATGCCGAACTGAAATCTTGACGGCGTTCGTGGCTCGGCAAAGACACGGCTCCTTAATCAGACCATGCTTTCTAACTGTCCACAAACTAATGGAAGAACATCAGTTTTGTTTCAGTGTCCCAAAACAGTTTCCTCATATTCGGTGACAAGACGGATATCTTGCCATGCTCGCTGGGCTGTTGTGTAGACAACGGAGTGAACTTCGCAGAAATGCCGAAATTTCGCTTGTCGGCGTGATGAATGGGGAGTTCTCCTTCCACAGATCCTCTCACACCGAACTTCTACTGCGTAATGACACAACAGTGCACGGTGGTCTTGTGAGTCTACCCAAAGATCCTATAGGGCTGCTCTGTACCTACAGACTCAAGCGCCGAGTTATCCCATTGTATTTCTCCGCGGGGAACATTTTCACTATTTTAATTTATCAATAGGTATTTATAAAAGATTATATATGGACTAATTTATTTATCTTTTGATATAAGAAAAGGAACTAATATATTTTACTTTTAAGTTGAAAATAACAGTTTGGATACAACCGGCACTACTTTCTTCTCCAATAAACCGTATGCATGACGTAATTACATCAGCTATATTGTAATTGGATAGAAGTGACTTTGATTCCACTTGGTAATTTGAATCCGGTTCGTAAGTGACTTCGTCACAAAGGCGAACGCGCCACGATTTGCAGCTTCCCATTGGACAATTATTAATTTCCAGTTCAATGGTTCCGTGTAAACGGCGATCAATGCATGTAACCCTATGTGCTGTGCATGTGCAGTGGGCGTGGTTTAAACTGAAGTGACGTCACATTTACGAAGCGGATAGAATAAAGCAGGCGACCGAAAATCCATGTGGTGCCGTTATTTTGCACAGGTAATCGGGCTGTTCCATTGGCAGGAGGTGAAAGCCTTCAAGTTCAAAGGTACCACCACCTAATCCGAGGATGACCAACACCAAGCAATGACTTCCAGTTTGACGGAGGATACACAGAACAGATTGATTGGTATCATGCAAAAAATAGCCCAAAATGCTGACCTTCACATTCTTGCCACACAAACTTGATAAAAAAATCATACTTTTTTTCTTGCCTTGCATTTTTTTCTGTTTCAAAACTAGTATCAGGTGAAGTTGTATTTAGTGCTGTTTCTTTGTCTAAATAAGTTCTAAGGTGGTTGCACATAAATGACCGACGCTTCCATCTCACATTTGGGAGTTCTGTATTCAGTAAATGCAAGGGGGGGTCATAGTCTTCAGGAGGAATGAAGCTACATTTTGGGGCTTCGTATCATTCTTTTGGAGGGAAGAAAATGAAATACATGCAGACACAATATAATCACTTTCATCGTGTAGTTTCTATCCACCAACAGCCCAAGGGAATGTCAGTTGCAGTAAACCTTGGGTTTCAACAGAGTTGTATTTTCAATATTTAATCTTCTATCCATCTTTCCTGTCAATATCACCATCAATGTCCTCCCCACCCCCGGTCAGAGGAAAGTGAATATACAAATAAGAAACCTGATGGTATCTCATGATTACTAACTGATTTTATTCAGAAGTTCTTGGAGCTGTTATTTACAAACACTGGCACTTTCTTTAGTATGATGACCACTTTTCAAAGTTATTTTGCCCTTTTCGAATAAAACGGAATAGAAATCTGGAAAATATGGCTTAGACTTCATAATCTTTATAGCAGTTTTGTTAGTCATATGTTTTCATCTGGATGAACGCCAAAAGCCTTAACAAAGATTTGTTGACATACCCACTGTACACGGAGAAATGCAGCAGATGGAACAGTTTTTTTAAAGATACATTTATATAAAACTTGCAACAGGATCATTATACATCGAGAACAAGGAATTCTCCATCGTGAGATTGTCAAAGAACGTCCATGTGCTTTCTGCTCCCTATGACAACTTAGGACAAATCATTTATCAACCACTTGCATGATGGTATAATGTACTACGGTAAAATAAAGAACTATGAATAAAGTCACAATTAATTCCAAATCTAGTTTGGAACTTTGCTCTTAAAAGACTGGCACAACTAATAAATACATTTTTCTTTATATTCAATGCTTTACAGGTAGTTTGCGATCTCCTTGACTGCAAAGCAGTTGACCTCCAAGCAATTAAGAATACCCCTTCTATTTGTAAACCTCAATGCCAAAATGTTCTTGGACATTGGCCAAGAGAAAAGATGGTATAGACAAATCTGGCGAGAACAATTAGAAGCCATTACCGCGGGGCCATCCTGTTCACGTGCACGTGGTAAGCGCTTACCACGGGGCCATCCTGTTAGCATGCAGGTGGCAAGTGCGTGTTCCATCCCTCTCTGACCAATAAGGTGTCACAACTTGCCAGACTGTGTGTGCATGCTCAAGTTAAGATATGTGTGTGAGTGCAATGGCCCCATGAGAATGACATCTCCAATTTTTTTTCTACATACACCCTTTTTGACCAGTATGGATAAGCCGTTTCATGATTCCTCCAAACACATATTGGTTGTTGGATAAAAATAAGTTTATTCTGCACTATTCACAACGGAGAACTGTACAAAAACTTCAAACGCACCACATGCATCTCGTAGGTAAATATGATGTGCACCTTTATCAAGAACAGTACTCCCAAGTGTTAGGTGGTGTACCCCCCCTAAATTTCCACAGCCATGCAGGATATTAAAGCTGTGGTCATCCCCTATCTACCCAGCATGGATTATGTCCTTAATAATCTTTTAAGTCATTTTTTTTTTGATTGAAAAATGGATGGCATCTTCAGCACTTTGTGACAAGTACCAAGAGGATTCCTCGGATACTTTAAAACTATTCCATCTTTTCTTAATCAATTACTCAGTTTACTATCACTCAAGCGTTTTTCTTTAAATCTCAGAACTTTTGACCAGTGACCTTTGCAATGTATTTTTTTTTAATTTGGAGTGCCACTTCACTCAAGACTAAGAAAATCCACAAATTTCAGAAACTCCAATGTGGCAACACTTCCAAGGCTGAAACTGCCCAATATTTCTGACACCCTGTCCTTTGACCTCTAGTCCTCCAAGAAGAAGTACTGCCCTGTCCTCTTCTGATCCACATCCTTGACAGAGTTCATCTTGTTGATGCGAGGCCTGAAGTTGTTGGGATCTCTTCGGAAGGTGATCTCTAGCGATGCCAGGAAACAGTTCATGCCGTTAAGCAAAGACTGGGGCCTGCAAATAACAACGAAGAGGTCAATGCTATCTCTCCCCCAGCTCTGCTCATAATCAACCGACAATTTGTACAATCATACAGAATGGAGTAACAATTGACAGCGTATTTTGCCGGCAATTTCCACAGAGTTATGACAACATGCCATTAATAACTTTTCCATCCATTCCATCAGAAGTTGGCATAAAACCTTAATATGGAAGTTTTGCTCTTGGCTTGTAACTGAAGTTTTGTATGTCAATTTTACTACTAACTAGATTAGGAAACAGATATCTGATGACAGATCTTTGAAAACCATTGTTTAATGGCAACTTTAATTTCCTCAGCAATTCCTGAGTGAATATAACTACCAGGTGATATGTTCTGGCTTTCCAATCCACAGTACCGTGACATGAATTTATTGATTGTACTGGAAACCATGATCATCAAACTGTATGATCACAGATACTTACGAGTTGGCTTTGGTCTTGATGGACGGTGTTCCCTCAAAGACAATCACACGATCAGCGAGGTATGTGGCCATGATGAAATCGTGCTCAACAACAAAGCCAGTCTTCTTGGCATGCAAGATGAACCTAGGTAATCAAGATATACAATGTCAACATCTCTCTAAAACCCTTTGTCACACATAAAGGGAAACTCTGACAAACACAAGTGTTTGTGTTTCTGCAAGGATACTTAACTGAGTTGGGAAACATTCATTTTCCTTCTTCTTCAGAAGAGGAAGTCTTCTTTAACCTTTCAAGATGCTTGATATTCATTTGCCCTCATTTTTCTACTGACTGCCACTTCAAAGAATAATGTAGCTAACAATTAATTTGTGCATGACATTTGAAAATGTCAGGTCCTTTGATCCTTTATACTGACCTTTTGATAACCTTGGCAGCTACCAGACGCTGTTCAGAGTCTAAGTAAGCAGAGGGTTCATCAATGAGGTAGACATCAGCTGGTCTTCCAAGACAAAGAGTCAGCGCAACACGCTGCAACTCACCACCAGAGAGGTTCTGAACCTGTTCAAATTATTACAAACACAATTTTTAGATGCACTATCAATGGAATCATATCAGGAATTTCACTTAACTCCTCTAGTAATTCTAAAAATTAATTATACAAATATGAAAGTTTAAAATGTTCAACAGATGACAATCAAAAATCATGAATACTAGAGGCCAAATGTGTCACATTACCTCTTGGTCAAAGACGCTCTCAATCTGCAACGGTTTGATGACGTCAGCCACAAACTGAGGATGGATGTAAGAATCTCGGATTTTCTCATGGAGAAGCTGTTGTACTGTCCCCCTTGACTTGGGACTGATCTTCTGAGGTTTGTAACTGATGTTTAACTCCGGTACAGTATCTGTACAATTATTGGTCAAGAGATTCACATGTCAGGATGTAGTAATATTTGGGAATTATGTGATGAAAGCTGGAACCAATTCTTATCAACTTGACATTAAAATGAAAAAGGTTTTACTACTTCCAATTTCCACTTAAACAAATCTGAAACTTGATTTACCAGTTACCAATTTACTGGTCTTCCCTGTGAAATATCTTTCTTTGAGATAACTTTTAACATGGAACAAAATATCTTAATAATTACATTATGCTTGGTCACTCTATCACAATTGGTCCTAGTGACTACACCTACCAGAGTCATCGTCTGGTTTCAGCTTGCCAGCCAACATACGAATGAATGTTGTCTTGCCGGTACCATTCTCTCCAAGCATGACCAAGATTTCAGAGTCAGTGAACTCCCCTGCGTCTATTTTTAGATGGAATTCCCCTGGAGGCAGACAGAAATTAACGGAAGAAAGGAGTCATTCTCTCTGTATGCTGATGAAAGAGTGTCAAAAAAAGATGTGGTTTATATGGACATGGAAGGATGGGATGGATGGGGGCGTGGTGGGCACGGAGGGTTGGGGTTTGGGTGGAATGGGTTGCAGGGCTGAACATTTTTACCATTTGTTTCTACTTTTGTCATAAAAATACCTGAACTTTTTGACTTCACTTCGGATCAGCCTTGTCAAGGAACCATATTACAGTACAATGTTTTTTACGATGTCACCGAGTGCACGCCGCAGTCTCGCATGCGACACATGCACACACATGAACGTACACACGCATACCTGTGGCCAGTGTCATAATCTTACTGAATGGTCTGCACAGTGGCTGTGTCTGAATCGATACGGCTGGAATACACGACAACAACCTGCTAGACTCGTGCGTAAATTCAAGCCAAACGAGTAGATTCGGCTTAGACTTCAGTTTCACTGGTTCCAGTCATAGCTTGAACATGTGGTTTTGAACGCTGCTCCAAAATAGCTGGAACCAGCTAAACCAAAGTATCAGCCTAATCCACTCATTTCGCAAATGCTTGATTGCTGCAGTTAGTTCCCTTTTACATCTGTGTGCATATGCACATTATAAAGGCCTGGTGCCAGACTGTTGACGTCACGTCGCTAACAACAAAAGCAACAGCAAGGACCAGGGTCTTTGCTTTTTTTCTTGAACATATGTCTTAAGTATTGTACAGGAGCTACTTGCTCCAATAAGTGACAAATTCAGCTGTCTAGGGAGCAAGTACTTGCTCCCGTGATGATTAGCCCAATTTCAAGCCCTGGGTTGGGTTGGGTTGGCTGAGGTTGGGTGGACTGGGCTGGGTCAGGTTGTGTTGGCTGAGGTTGGGTAGACTGGGCTGGGTTGTGTTGAGTTGGCTTGGGCAGGTTGGGTCAGGTTTGATTTATGGCTGGAATGGGCTTTGCCAGATTAACTATTTTTACCTAATGTCTTGGTCATCTTGGGGTATTTATAGCGACGCATCCTTTTCACCTCTTCTTCATCAGCTGTTTCTGACACTTTGAAGACCAGGGATGTTTCTCTGAAGCGAAGGTTTTCCGTCGGTACATAACCATCCAGGAAAATGTTAATACCTGGGAGACAAATTTTCACAGACCTCATCTTCAAAATGTATAAATTTGCAATGACAATGGAACAATATCTCAATAGATTTCAACTTTCTCGTCCTTACCTTCCCTGACACCAAAGGGCATAGTCACCACCCCATAGACACCAGGCATTCCATACAGGCAACAGATGAAATCAGACAAGTAGTCCAGAACACTCAAGTCATGCTCAACAACTATGATGTACCTACAAACAATGAAGGTCAGTTGAAATACAATGCTTACATGAATCAGTCAACAACTACTATCATATACTGGTGATCTCTGATGTGAATACAGAGCCTTGAATCAAGAGATTCAACAGCATTGATTGGTATTGATGGGTTTTGTTGGAAAAGGCTGTGATATAAGTCCAAATGCATAACAATCTCTGCCTGTGAGAGAATGGTACTGACTTGTCTAGTTGTAGCAGTGATCGTATAGTTGCGGCGGCTTTGATCCGTTGCTTGACATCAAGGTAACTTGAAGGTTCATCAAACATGTAACTGTGACCAAAAGGAAGAGAAAAAAACATTTCTTGCATCTTAATTTTAAAATATCCTACAAATATATCCAAACAAACAACACAGTCAGCCTTCAATCTTCATAGAAATATGTGGAAATGTAGAAAAGCATAACCACTTCCTGTTGGGACAGTTATCAGTGTTGATGATGCTGGGGCGGGATATTTATCATTTTTTTCTGTTTTCAAAATTCTTTAAAAATTCCTGTCTTCATTTACTGCACACTTATACCCACCCAAGAATTGTCTGGTCTCCACTCTAGCCTGACAGACAAAATCTAAAAAAAGCCCAGATTGTGCAGTGTTATCTAACTTTCCTTTGTTCACGACCCTGGCTCAGTGCACTGCTGACCTCTTTTCAATAGGGGCCAGATTAGCATGCAGCGGTGCTGTGTGGCTCATTGCTGCGGTGGTGGAGCACTTTTGTCCCTGGTGGTAATCCACTCACTCTAAATGCCCCAAACCGTGGTATACTGTTTCAAAACAAGGCTGGATTATCTCCACTTTTGAGAGTGAAAAAATGTCGGTAATTCCAAGCAGCCTGGTCTTTTGTTCCCAGTACGGTCTTTTGTTACAAGGCCCTGTTCCCTTCGTCCGAGTTCGGAAACCCGGGCCACGCATATAAAGCATACGCGTCCGGATCCAGAATCCCCAGCAGGAAGTGGATCATATCATATTGTATGCCTCTTTGAGTGATTAGGTTTGGAACTCACATATCAGCTTGCTGTATGCATACAACAGCACATGCAAATCGCTGTAGCTCCCCACCAGACAAGTCCTCCACATTACGATCACGAACTTTTGTCAAGTCTGTCACAAAGCAAGCAAATCGCAGTATTAACAAGAGAAAATGAAATCTACTGATGCATGCTGTCTCCTGCCAATCTATTTTCCCGCAAATGAATTACCTTTTCAAAATTTTGCAGCTAGGGTTTGGTTTGAGACTACAACATACTTTTGATGGTGAAGATTGTTTATACAGTGAAAGCAATGTGGTCTTTACCAGTAGTGGACTCTGCATTTTCTTAAACTGTGCTCTTCCATTCACAACCAAGGAAGTTTCATCTAATATCTCTATGTGCATGATGACGGTGGACAACCTGTGTAGTTGACAGGTTTGATACTTTCTTGCTGTACATGTGCTCTTACCTAACTGATCACAGATTTCGTCCTGTTTATTGGTCTCATCTTTCTTGTCAAGAAGTGACTGCACCGTTCCCTATTAAAGAAAAAGACATAGAATTATCAGGATCATTTGCATAAAGGTATTACCTGTTGAGCGTCAAGTTGATGGGATGCAATACAATGATACTAGAAATATTCAAAAACAATGGCCAAACAAAAGAAAAGGCAACTTTGAAGGGGTTCAAGAGGAAACTCTTATACTAAAGTATCTTGGAAAGTGAACATTGCAACTCTGGAGGGAATTACCCAGATGGCTTTTCAATTACTCCTGCACAACGTAAACTAGAATGAGCAATTCCAAACAGCCAGTTACTTTGTAATTATTGGTCAAATCACTCCTGAGTGGCTACTGAGTCGTCAGTTGCCTGCTAAGTGGGTACTGAACAACTTCCAAACAGCTAGCTCATTGTCACCGAATGGCTAGGAAGTGGCTGGTAATAAACGGCTACAATAGCACAACAGAAGATAGGCAGACCAATCCTAAATGAATGACTCTTTAGCCATCAAAGCCCTTTACCTTGACTGCTCTTGGGATCTGATCCACATACTGCGGCTTGATGATAGCTTTCAGATTGTCCTCTAAAATCTTGGTGAAGTAATTCTGAAGCTCTGAGCCACGGAAGCAAATCAGGATGGATTGCCAGTCAGGGGGACTCTGTTAAATAAGAAAAAAGACTTGAGTAGCCAGTATAAAGTAATCATATGAGTACTACTGGAAAACAGAGTGCATCTGTGTCCCGTCTAAAGATAAGATCCCACAGGTAATACTATTTGTCACACAAATGCAAAAATACAGGACAAAACGGTGGACAAATGGACAAAGAGTGAAAAAGAGATGTTCTCATGCTTCAAACTTACATCAAACTTTCCCAGGTTGGGCTTGAGTTTCCCAGCCAGAATTTTGAGTGCTGTTGATTTGCCAATACCGTTGGTACCTACCAAACCTAATACTTCTCCAGGTCTGGGAATTGGTAACCTGTCATAAACAAAGAGAAGATTTCAAAATTTAATTGGTCGCAGATTTGATTAAGCTGCAGTTTTGATTTCACACGGTGAACATGGGCATGAAGTAGCCAGTAAGTCATGATAAGTGCCAAACGGTCAATAAATGGTGTTTATTTCTCTGAGTGCTACATTGTATCTGGTATTTGGGAGTGACATAACGTTTATCCCCGCATATCCTTTCAATGTCTTCCTCTTTTATTTTGATTGACTTGTGTCTTTCCTGACCTGTGCAGCTTAAAGGAGTTTGCACTGTATCGATGTGTGGTGTCCTTTTCCAAGTTACTTGGTAGATTGATGATGGTGATAGCCTCAAATGGACATTTCTGTCAGGAAAATAAGTGAGAGAAAATATTACTGCAATTACAGGCAAATTGAGATTCATGAAGTCACACATTTTACCGTCTTCCAATGGAAATATAGGTTCAACTCCCAACCATTCATTGTCTCCTTACTCCCTATTTGATTCTATTTCAATGGCGAGCCAGCAACCATGCAATGAATTCTTTGCATTGGAAAGTAACAGATATTTGCAGACTTCAGTGTCAACTGACCTTGACACAGATACCACAGCCAATGCAGAGTGGTTCCGAGATGAAGGCAATCTTATCCACAGGTGTAACCTCTATACACAGCTTACCTGTATTCAAATAGGCAAATTCACACAAAAATCTCATTTCTGTAAGTCATGGTTTATGGAAAGAATCAGATTCCTTGACCAGTTGGGAAGAAAATAATTTCCTCTGATGACAATGACACTGAAAACTCATGAAATGGACACAAGGGCAACTTATGTCAGAATTTGCTGAGGCCAAAATTGAAATGACACACTTTTGGTGGACACAGACCTGCTAACCTCTTGAATCACAAAATTGTATTTTGAAAATTCAAAAGTCGTATTTTTCATTGAAAAATTGTAGTTTGCAAAAATGAGAATAGGCCTATTCCTCCACGTGACAGTTTTGACCACATGTCTGGAATGGGTTTAGTCCAAGTAACTCGGACTAGATTGCATCAACACCTCTCCGTGCATAAAATAATCACACGAGAAAGGCATTATCGAGAATGAAGAGCGAAATGGCCCTATTCCCACCTGAATTGATTACATTTACAAAATTTGAAATCTTGAAAAGCTCATCGCAAGTCCAGGCAATCATAAATTAACGCAGGTTGATTCAAATGAACACCCTGGTTTCAACTTCGCATGATCTGTTTGATCTGAGACTAGAGAGAACAGACCACTTACCCATCCTGACAACGGGACAGGATTTCTTGCATTCCTGACGACATCTTTTAGGTTTACATTTGTCATTGCTGACAACGGCAATACGGATTTGTTTGTCACCCATAATGGGGGTGTGTCTAACAACTCAGTCCTGGATGGAATTCAAACAGAAAGAGCAGAGAGAACACCTGTTAATAAGTAGAAACAGAGGCAAGGTCACACAAAAATGCTGTTTAGTGTATCAAAAAGTGTAATTTTCCACTGAAAAATACATCTTGATAACTGAAAGATGCAGTTTTTCACAGGCCAGGAAGAGTTCTTATCTAGACATCGTCGACACCCTGTAATGTCTGTGCACAAGACAGACAAAGTTAATGCTTCAATGTTTTCCCTGATACATTAAGACATCATATAACTTCCTGTTGGGTGATATATGGTCACTGCAGGGAAAAATCAGTGGTGTCATGTGTAATGCTACAAGAATCAAGAATGCACAGAACTGCATCATGGTCATAAAATAGAATTCCACATATTCCACATTTGGACGGACATTTGGATGGACGGCACTAGCTCTACTGAGCGGAGCATTAGTATTCCTCTTTTTCAATTTTGGATGGGATCGGTCTTACTAACGAATGCGAGGTGAAACAGGTATTTTTGGTGAGTCTTTGGAATTTTTGTCACTTTACTTTATGTATTGTTGCGGAGCGTTAGTATGACCGATCCCGTCCAAAATCGAAAAATACTAATGCTCCACTTAGTAGAGCTAGAACAGCACTAATTTTTCACCACACTACAGTTACATGAGTTAGTCATTTGAAAGCAAAACATGACCTAACAAGTCAACTTTAGAGGGAAAAATATGAAAGTTTTCATGTATAAAACATGAACAACTTAGTTCAGACATGTCAGACCAATCCCTGGGGCTTTGTGCTTCGGGTGTCAAGCGGTATCAAGCATACATGGGACTTTTTCCCAAACATGGCAGTGAGTTATGACAGTAATAACAGTAACATAACTATGAACTACACGTATATCATGTATATAGACGTATGTTCACAATAATCATGATAATACTAATACAAACATGACAAAGCCTAAAAACGGATCAACACACGGATCTGAGAAAAAAATTCAATGTTGGTACGGTTGGGGATGAAGATCTTTAAAAACTGCAGAGGTTAATTTGAAATTGCAAGCGGCAAAAAAAACGAATAGAAAAAGAACATCCTGTGTAACTGTGTCAACTGGTCAATAAGAACCGCCAGTGAATTCGGTTTAATTCGTATTCGGACGTCATGCATTGGTGTCCGCAAACTGGGCAAAGTAGCATTCAAAGTTAACGGAAACTTACGATACCAAAAAAAGGTTAATTCGGTCACAAAAATCCGCTTCAGCGTATTAACACAGACCACTGTTTAAAGATTACTAAAACTGAGTACAGCAGATTCAATACCGACCGAAGAACCAACCGTATGGTCAACCACTGATGATGGGGAACGATGGCGGCGCGGGACGACAAATAAAATTTCACAATCACATGTGCATGGAGAATGAAATAGCGCCCCCTCAATCGACGACCCGCTTTTGCGCAATAAAAGAACGCGGTTTTCCTCATCGATTGAACGCGATAGGGCTGGGGTGTATGAAGCCTCCCGACCTTTTATCCTTGATAACACGTCCCCGAAATAACACGTCCTCACCCACAAACACATTTTTTAATAATAAGAAACAAAATTATACAAGAATTTACATGATAAAATAAATTTCGGTTTGTGAGTAATTTCACAGCCACAGGGCCACACATAAGCGAGATGATTAAATTTCAAATTGCTACCATGGAGGAAGGAAAAGTCTTTCCCTTCATGTTTCTATCAAAAATCTTTACAGTTTTTCGTCCTTGGTTTACGCCTTTTACATTCAATCTATGGTTTCTATGCATTCAGGTTTTTAGTCCTTACGGCAAACGAGTTGGTTGGTTAATCACTTTTTTCGCCCTTTTTGTAGCATAATCGGTATAATTTATCAGATATTACAAGCACTAAAACCCTAAGAAATCAATACTACGATATAAAAGCAAGATGTCGGGACCGTAAGGCTTTTGATATTTTTTTCTCCCCCAACATCATGTTGAATGAGTCTGAAGCCGTATTTGCTTTCGAATCCCCCTTCAAAAACCCACACCAAAAGCTGGATATGCCGCTGCTGGTGAGTTACAAGCAGTCAATCAGGAGTGGTCCGTCGCTGGTGCGCCCTCATCAAAGTAACCCAAATCTATCACGTTGAATGATTTAATGATAAGACGTTAAGATCCTTATTTTATTGTGGTAGAACAAAGACTCAAAGGCGTAAGCAGATTTAAATCCCGTCGTCATTGGATTTGTATTTTATTGAAGCATTAAGTAAAAACAGAATTTAAAAAACATAAACATACAGTGAAGAATAATAATTTAACCAGAAAATAAGCTAGAATATTTCCCCAAATGTAAGCATCAGTGGTATTCAGGTCTTTTGTCCGGGTGGGGGGGTATTTTTTTCCAAAATTGACTTCCCCCAGCCAAGGTAGGAGTGATGTTTCAATTAATACAAAAAATTATGGCCTCATGACCCAAGGGGATACTAAACAGCCCCCCCCCCTACGCACACATACGCATAACACCCACTGGCAAGTTACTTGGGATGGTAAACTTGGCATGCAATGTGCCTCTGAGTGGAAATAAGTATTGCAAAATCAGTCTGCCTTGGCAACAGTAATATAGTTCATTGGCAGTGTGCTCTTTTGTGCCACTAACATGTTTCTGTTGGGAATTAATAAATGCATGCACACAGCTGCCCATCCCTGATTGCATCATGAAAAAAGTGCGTATTCTTAAATTTACTGTTCAATTTACAGTATGAGAGAAATATAAAAAGAAACTGACAAAAAAGGTATCATGCGACTTGTGGGACAGTTATATTAAACCTTTCACTGATAAAAGATCTAAATCCAGGAAACGTTGGAAAGATCAGTTCTAAGTTTTAATTTAATCCAGTGATTATCTGATGGATACACAATTATTGGCCGGTTGTATACTGGCTTTTGGCTGTGACTGTTATTAAAAACAGCAACGTACAGCTCCAGCAATGACTTTATTCCATGATTCCATCTCTTTTTAGCCTCTCTAGCAGCCTCAACATGGCGTGTTCGATGGCTCCTTGTCTGCTCTTGTAATGCTTGGCCTTCTCGCTGATGCCGCTGGAGATATCCCACGCCGTGCCGTCGTATACCCACGGTTCCCTCAAACTGTGAACACGCCCTTTGGCATTGTACTTGATGACGCGATCGGCAATTGTCACCTAAGGTGTGAAAATGAAGAAAGCCGAAATGCGTTAACAATTTGCAATTGGAAAAAAAATTACCCAATAAATTTTGATACTGTTTATGCCCCTGCAGTGCCACCGTCCCATACTGCAGTTTCTCCGTGTCGAACTAGTGGCCTAACTGTAACAAATAACTTCTATTCGTCCTTCATTCACAGTCTGAAGGAACAGCCCCTCTGACGGTACCAGGTCCTCTTTCCCTTCAGACATTTTTTGTTGGCAATGGCTTCTGCATTGTGTTGAAGAAAATATTCAAATGTATTCAATACTTCCGTCTCTTTACTTTGAACCCTTTAAACTGTTGACATTTATAAGTGGCATGCGGTGGCCGAATCACTGAATCCACAATCCACAAACAGGGGTTCTTTACCTACCTGTCCCTCCTCGTTGACTGTGCTATTGACAAAGTCAACCACAGATTTAATGATAGCCGGGTCGAGGAGCGCACTCGCCATTATGACTGTGATTCTGAAAAACACGGCAATTGAAAAGATTCATAGGATATAAAAGTTAACATTTTCAGGAATGTTTCCTCTTACGATGTCAAAATTTGTGTCTTTTTTTTTTTTTTTGGTTGTTCGAGAAGTTAAAAAGTCCATACATGTAATACTCAGCCACGCGGCGTGTCCAAGATGTCGTCAAGGAGGCATTGTACTGTTTGATACAATAATGTCCAAGTTCCCATCTTTCCCAAGCAGAAATATGTGAATGTTAAGCAGAATAAAACCTACGTCTAATATGCCCTAAATATTTACCTCAGTTGTCCAGTGCTGAATTTCGAAGACGAGCCAAGACGACCGTGTCTGTCAAGAAGCAACGCAGCAGATTATGGTACGGAGTTGTGCATCAATGTGCCTTATATACACGTACATGTACATTAGCGTCCTCTTTCAGCTATGGCGTATTGTCTCGGTGGTGATGCAACGTGGAAATAGAAGGGACTTCCCGTCGCGGCAGGGAAAACCAAAGTGGCGTGCAATAGCAGAAATCAACGAGTTGGTTACGTGACCACTTCTGACGCAAATCTCAAATCTGGCAGTCGCAGCATAACCACAGCAGTATACTGTTCACTCAATACAAAACATAACCTAACGTGATTCACTGCGGAAAAAACCTGTTCGTGTTTTGGTTGCCCGGAGTCGATTGGGACTTCCCAAAAATACGTGGGCACTGAAGTTAAAGGTTGCAGCCAAGTAAATAGGTTCAAAATTGCCTGTCAAATTCTCTGTTATTTGAGCATTGGTGGATCGTGAACTAGAAGATTTGTAGGGGGAGAAGGTGAAGGCTAGCCACAGGAATTTCATCCTGTGTCCGAGTGAATTTGATGAAATCGGTGCCCTAGTAAAATGCTCTATTTTGCTACGGAATGTAGGCATATCTTCTAAATACGGCTGCAGGCTTCACGTCTGTTTTTAGGGGCGACCCTTCTTGGATAAAAATAGCCGAAAAAGTAATCTGATAAGCTACTACAAACTGAAAGGGGAAAAGATGAGCTTTAATTTGCCGTGTGTTTTGAACACCTGAGAAACTTGTATTTGGGGTATTTTCGAAGGGGGACTTTATTTCCTGGTCTGTACCCTAAAAGGGTTAGAGAAGAACGAATGAGTGAGGGCGACCCCATACAAAACGTAAAAGCCGATTTAAGATGTTGGTGTTCGGGGGAAGGAGGATGTATTAAGAAAAAGTTACATTTTGTTCACAGGGTGCAAACCTTTATTGCAACTTTTGCTCAACTTTTGCTCATGTTTGAAATACTGTGCAGTCTGTGATAAGGAGGAACAAGTATAAAAGGTGCAAAGTGGAATACGCGGTATACAATACTACTTATCACAAGAGTAAGAACAAAATATTGGAAAAGTTTATGCTGTGAAAGCGACAAGCTTAAATACAAAGAATATACATACTTATATCAACGAAATATTACAAAATTACTGGCCCAACAATAGTGTTTAGACCGCTTAAGAAAAACCAGACCAAATGCATGAATTTTACGCTGAAAAAAAAAATATGAAAACAAGTCCAGCTACTTTTAAGTCACATGAATTTCGAAGTTCGACAAACATTATTACAAAAAATCGGTAAAATACGAAGATTAAAAAAAGAGAGAGTGAGAGAAAAAAAGATGCATCATTAGCCGAGGGTTTTTCACTGTAAAACCATGTAGTAAGATGTTTCAAGATGGAAAGTCAGTTTAAAACCTGCACAAGCTTTACACCGAATTTAAGACTTGGAAGATTTTAAGATTTTGCTCAGGACAATATCAAGTAAAATATTGTACAGACAGTCATCTTAAAACCATTTTTACATGCAAAACTCAGACTTTGAACCCCTTAAAATAGCAAAAGGACCCGGATTATTGAAATGATAATAAAGTGTGAACCATTCGTTCATACACCCAAAGTAATCACTATTCTCGATATGGCACGATAACCAAAGAGAGTGTGCAATAAAATATTAAATTATGTACACCAAACTAGGCGAAAACTGGTTTCATCAGCCAATTTGATGTTATCACTTCTCAGTTCTGCTGAGCAAGCAATCTGTTTTGAGACCACGCTTGGAGGGTTTATGAAAGTCTAGTCTTGTATTACAATTTGTAGAAAGCTGAGCCTACAAAAGACAACAGTTAACAAGCGCAGATTTCCTAGCAATTTGGTAGCACCTTTGGTATCTAAATCTAGAGTGAGTCATAAATGAAGTAGTAAGGCACGAGTTATCTTGTTTATTAAATGCTGCTTTAAATATTTGGAGTGTTGAAGAGTTAGAAAAAGCTACAAATATGAATGAAAGCTCAACGATTTTAATAGTATTTAACACATGCAAGTCCGTGCAGAGTATTAAAAACCAATTTCCGTTACATAAATGCATGAAATCAAACGTCAACCTTTAATATAATTTATTTCAAAAATTACCTTTTACTAACACTTCACTCTAACACTTTGAATAGGATTTTTTTAAATATAACTTATGGAAAAATTATGGGTATATCAAAATATAATTAGCAAAACACTTCTCACTGATGCACAAAAAAATTAACATGTTTCTATACACTTTGCAATATGTATGAAAGACAACATTCTTTGTTAAACGTTCCTAGCGAAGTCAACCTTAATTGTCAAAAAGAAGGATCAAAAAAACGAAGAAAAGGAACATGTCATTCAAAAATAAACGTCTCAGTATAGATCTACATTAACAATTTCATATTTTAATACAATGGCATTTTCCAAAGGCACAATAGAACATAGTTTGGCAATATATTTAAGTAATACATGAAAAAAGTATATCCAAACAATGGAATTATAGGTAAACAAATGTTCCATTTATTTTTATGGTATGACTTTCAGGCTGTTCTGAAACTTAAAAACTCCAGATATAGATATGCCTATTAATATGACATTAATAAAAACATTTTTATTTAAACCTCTCAAAAGTTTTGAAAATTTTGCAACAGCAACTTTACAACGCAATTGAAACATCTTAAAAAGAATTGCTGATGTCAAAATCTGGCATTAATTTCACAGACTCTCACCTGTAGTAATTGCAAGGAACTACCAAATTTAGTTATTTTAAATGCACAAGTATTTTGTACACTGCTGTTACAAATTTGACAACTACGTTCTTACTAATTAAACAAATATTAAGTTTCAAATGGATTGATCAAACAATTGTTCAGAATTTTCACATATGCTCTAACATTTTCTAATACCATGAAAAAACACAACATCAATTCTGAAAAAAATCTCATGGTGCTTTTTTTGCTTCAGAAAAAAGAACAAGTTAGTAAGAGGTTGTGTTAAGAGAAACATTACATCCAAATCACTTTCAACAATCCAAATAAACCAAATCATCTGTCCAAACTCTCTCTCTCTCTGATCTCCTCTGCAAAAAACTAGTACATTTCTCTAATGGCCAGGTGCGTCTTCTTGACAAAGGTGAAAGAGTGTTGTAATCCCTTTTCAAACAACCTCCAATTTGGAAGATTGATTTTTGCAGGGTAAACATCTTGTCATGGTTGCTTGAATTACTCTTCAACGGGTACACGTAGCTAACAAGATACAATCTGTGTTATCTGTTGCAGTTACTGCAGTATATTTCTGACCTTGAATAAACTCTCACCTACATCACCTAATTTTTCAATCATCTTCTTGCATGCATTTCTTGGAATATTTTCAATTCATAGAAAATTCTTCAGTAAATTTCAGTAGAAATGAACTAGAAATGGAAAAGGTTGAAATGAGTTTTAAAGTCTGGTTTTTTTTTTAACAGTGCTTTTCTGTTTTGGTTATTGAAGACTTTTAACGTATCTGTAACGAAGTTCAAAAAACATTTCAAATCAATCAAGTGCAAAATTTACGTATTACAAAAATAGACATCTTATCATATTTCCTGGTTTTGCGTTGTTTCATAGTTCAGTGACATTAATCAAATCAAAATTTATTCACCATTCTCAAACCCAAAATAACTGGTTCTTCGTAAATTTGGTCAGCTTCCTGCTTTCCATTAATAGAAAAATATGATTCTTCTTTGAATAAACGTATACCGCATATCTTTTCAATCTCTGAAGTTTTAATTAAAAATAACAGTCTTTTGATAAATGGTCTTCATCATCTGATGATTCTTGCAGACCTAGTGTTTGAGAGGGTTTTTACTTCTCTTTTTAATTAATCTCAAACATGCGAGTTGGCAATACTTCATCCATTTTCAAAGAAAACAAAAACACAGAATATAAGTGGATACAATTCATCCACCAACACTTTTTTAAAACAGAATCCTGCACCTCAAGCAGTTGAGGTGCTAATACAATGAAATAACGTGAAATTTGAGCCATCTGTGTGCAGAACATTTCAACTCACTTACTTAACTTGCACTTTTCTTTTCTTTATAGTCCCCCAAAACCAGGAAAGACAGTAACCCTGCAGTTCCCTCTGGAGTGTACATTTAATTCAACAAGTGTAGCATATTTCTGTGCTCTGGATTACAATACATTACAAATGAATAGATATGCCTTTCTGATGTTTCAGAAACAATGTTTGGTTTCATGAGTTCTTTTTGTTTGACACACTGGGTGTGGCCAGCAATCCTAGGAGTAAGAATGTACTAACTTTTTCTCTAGTTTTCTAACTTTAAAGTCTTATTGAGTGAAAAACCCACAGAGCATAAATTTGTATTTTTTATTGTCTATATGCCAGCAAATTTACAATGTCACTCAGCTGCCAATAGTTTGGATGACAACATTTAAGGAGATTGTGTTTTTTAAGGAATGAGTTGAAAGAAGGATTTTTTTACTCTTAACAGTAGGTCCCCCCCACCCCAAGTCAGATTTGAAATAGCTTGGCTCAACACTTGTATGGTTTACCCTGTTTATGAATGGTTAAAATTTAGAAAAGGCTATTTGTAAAAGTTTCAGTATAATTTACTTGGTATAAATGCAACATGCCTCATCTGACACTAAGAAAACTGTGAAAAAGGCCCCCTTGAATTGTTTTGGTGATTTGGCTTGAAAATGTATTTATTCAGTGAGAAGTTGGCATGTATAATGCCGGTGCTGGAGATGGTGCATTGTTTGGTATGAAGGTGACTGGAGGACTTTGACCATAGGCTACAGCGGGTACCTTAACTGGGCTTCCATAAGCAAATGCATGCTGCCACTGACTTGGAACTGGGTACTGATACGTGCCTAAGTTCCCTGGTGGTGGTGGTGGAGGTGCTGGGTGGTAATTCATGTGTGTGTAGGGTTCAGTTTGGATACTCGGTGGATTAGCATGTGGATTGAAGAAAGTGCTCACAGGTGCTGGTGCTTGTTGTAATGGCTGCTGCTGTGGAATGTGCTGATTGGCAGGTGACTCGACATAGTAGGGCTGCGTCGGTCCTGTTTGAGACAACACAGGAGGTTGAAGAGTGATATTAGTATTGTTAAGGACAGGAAAGGGGGACATGGGAAACACACCTGGACTAATAATATCAAAGGGTGACTTGCGCCTGGTTGGAGTAACAAGAGTCCGAGGTGCTGGACCCAAGGCAGGGTTCTCTGGAGGGCAGACAGGAAGACAGGGAGAAGGTGACAGGGACTCGGAGGAGACGTTATTGACATTTCTGTCTTCTGATCTTGGAGTTGGGATTCTCAGAGGCATGCTGGGTCTCATTGGAGTAACAAATGATGCTGGTTTGCTGCTAGCATTGGCTCCACAATCATTTTTCAACTCTGAAACCCCATGGTTCTCTGAATTCTGCTGCTGTTGCTGGCCATTACTGCATTTCTGAGGAACAATTTTAGGGCTCTGTCTGCCATTGTGCTGTTGATGATCCTGTCCTGGGACAGAACTAGAAAGTTGACCACCTCGTGGTGGGAATGTAAAGTACACAGCATTCACAGGCAGTGGAAGAAAAGCTTGTCTCTGCTGCTGCTGTTGATGTGACAGTGGTTGTTGAACACCGTTTGAACAAAGAGTGCCATCATGCTTTACACCTGATAGGCTAAATACCGGCTGTTGATTGGCAGTCATCACACCATGATGTCCTGAGAAGCAATGTTGGCACAGCGTGAACATAACAAAATGAAAATAAACTGCCTTGTAGAAACTCAATCTAGGACTACAACTAATCCCAGTTTGATCAAATGCATATCAGCCGACAATAGTTCTGCAAAACCCTGTTGCACTGAAGGCTGTGAACGAGCAACAAATGACGGACACAATACAATAAAAGTTTTTTTTGTGAATGCATTCTTGAGAGATGTGAAATAATCCCACATTTCTGAATGGTGTTGATGGAAAAAATGATCACTTACTGTTAGGAGTGCAGGATCTCTGATGTATCCCTTCATCAGAGTCATCTTCCAGCATGTTGTTATTAGCACAAATAGCGCCATCTGAAGAGAACTGATTCCCAGCTGAAGATGTGGGCATTGCAGGTTGTTGCTGAGTTTGAGTTGCCATGGGACAAGAGTTAGGGTCTGGAGTCTGATGGAATGATTGTTGCTGCTGTTGTTGCTGCTGATGCTGTTGCCACTGGTGCATTTGGAGAAGGTACAGACGGTGATGGTACTGTCACAAAATGAAATATGTCATAAGGAGTCATGATTTGGCAAAGATGTTAACACAAGTTTTCCCTGTTCCTATATTTGGTTAAACTACAAAAACCACCTGCCATCTGAACATCAAGCGTTGAAGAGGTAAAAACCTGTTTGAGGATTTGCTTTTTCAAAGAATTTGCTCAAAGTGTTCTTACAATAAAAAAAAAAATGGAAAATATTTAAAATATCACTTTCGACAATAAACAATCTGAACTAGGAAAGAGAGCTGTGCCAGAAAAATATTGTTATCACTGCTTTTTACACTTAATGAGCTAAAGAACCATTAATTATTCACCTCTATTCCCAAGTTGTAGTAGTAGCGCAAAGTAGAAACATCTGCAAGGAAATATAAAGTTAAAATTGATTCAAGTAGCTTGAACAATTCAAAACATACAATAACCTAACATAGTGGCTTATTACAAATACAAATCTTTTTACCAGACAATGGTAGATCATAGCCATTGGGGTCTCTGGATGCTGTAGCACTGGCATTAACTGGCCCAGTCAAATTATCGGTCACTGAAAAAAAAAAAATGAAATCAATTTCAATATAACAAGCTGAGGTGAATCGGGGGGGGGATGGGTGGGTGGGGGGAGTAGCTGCCGGCTAAAAGGATCTACCAGTGAAATGACAGAAAATTAATACCACCAAAAAAAATCCTGGACGAGGATTGTGTTTTCCATCTATCCATCTATAGTTTTCTTTTTATCAGGGAACAATGCATGTTTTCGAACCCCCGTAGCAGGGCATCCCTTCAGTATGTCTATCCTGGAAACCCTGTGGATGGTTTCTTTACAGGGTTCTTCTCCTTGAGAGCAACACTTCTTGAGACGGAGTGGGCCCTTTCGATAGAGTGTTGAACCTGGTGATAGCTCAGTCCCTTTCACCCCTTGCCTCTTTATCCAGCCTCCAGCTTTCTTGATGTTTCCTTTTGTCCTCCTGCATTCGTCCAACCTTAGTTGATTCCCTGTTTGCATGTTTGTCCCTGTCTACTTGTCATTTTGCCTTTAAGAAAGATTCTGCTAGGATCAAAACATCAGGCCCTCAATATTTTGTATTTGATTTGTATTTCAGGTCACTGTAGTCAGCAAGTGGTTTGCAGCAGTTTTGTATTACACAACTCCTATGTTAAATATCTCAAGTTAGCATCAATGAATTTTAAATCGCATCAGTACAAACATGTTTTAGAACATCTAGTTGATGTCTGTAAATTTTTTCATTTGCACAGCCAATTAAATTTTCGCAAACGAAATGTTCGTTAGTGATATTGTTCCATATGCTCCAACATTTTAAAGAAAGCACCCTGTAACACGAGAACACCCAGTATCCAATGCAGGCTACTTGAAAAGACCTTAGGATTAATCAGATTGCATGAGATTTGTGACTTAATAGGCCTTCCAAATACGGTAATACTCCAGACTGATATAGTTGTATTTGCTTTTACACAGAGATAATTGTTACCAATGTTGCATGCTCAGAGTGTAACTTTTGAGGCATGCCAAGGTGGAATCCAACTGACTACATCTCAATTAGAAAGAGAAATGGACAGATGCAGACTTACATGGAATAATCATTGGATAAAGTGGAATCCCAATAGGCACTGGTGCATTGTAGGTAGGCATCATGGGTACAGTGGGCGGAGACGGTGTGTTTGCAGTTGATGGACAGGCATTGCTTCCACTGGTACTAAGAGTGGAGTTGGAGGATTGCCAATTTGGTGTGGCTGGAGACTGGTTAGCGTTCTGGGGAGTTCCAGCATTCTCTCTTGTCTGTTGGTGAGATGGATGATTCTACAGAGATGCAAATACCAACACCATCAAATAACAGTTCAGTAGAGAAACGATTTAAACTAAAGATTAAGATTTAATTTGCACATTGTAAGAAAGTATTTATAAGCAGTAGAGCATTTCTTTGATGAACCCAATTGTTGGGAACTTTTAGTCCATAGAAACATTTCCTTTTGATCCAACTGTATGTAGACATGCAAATGATAACCTTACAAATCCATGATTATTAAAATGATGTTTTACGGTACATCGCAAAATACACAATACTAATCTACTCTTAAGAATTATAGCTGTACCTTTCCAGAATTTGGAACATGTCTATCACCTCTTTCTGCAACTGCAAAAAAAGAATATATAGATAAATAAATAAATAGATACGTGACCCAAACAAAAACATCCCAAACAAACACCAAAAAGTGCCCCTTGTGCTGATCAGCTGAACTAAGCTTATTCCCTAAGCATTGATATGGCCAGAGTCCATGTCTACAAGGTCGACGTCAATCTGCTGACTTGGAAGTAAGGTCCGAGAGCCAGGCTGACAACATTTACACGTATTAAACTAACTTTCACTTGTGACTTGGCATTCAAGAAATAAAGACTGATCATACTGGCAACATGGAGATTGATACAAATAAGTCTGTGTGTAAAGCGTCCAATACAAATAACATGCTTTAAACACCCTCTTCCATAAACCGATATATAAGATTCATACAAAATGTTGGTACAGTGCCGTGGGACCATAAATATAATTAATTATATATAATTTGAGGAAAAATGCCAATAGTCACAATCAGTGCATACTACTGCCAGGTGCATACACCAGGTTGTAGGTCTATGATAACAGGGCACTAACATCATCGCCTGACTACTAAATGTATGGTCTGGTATCACGATCACAATGATTTGTCATTGTCATGAAGTGACATGTCTCGAGACTGTGTTGGTGTACCAGGCCCTCTGCCTGCAAGCCCAACCAAAACCAACAACTACTTTGACATAACTCAACCAATGCAGCCCAGTTTTGTTCATCATTTTCTGTTTTGTGTAATTGGGCAGTGCATGAATGAAATGCTTTTGGCCGATGCCATAATTTGTGCCATTAATGCTATCTGTGATTACCCAAAGCCAAAAAAAGTGATCAGATCCAATGCCTTGTAAATGAAACAGAACTTTGCAATACCTTCAAACACAGCGACAGGAGATGGCGTATTGACTCTCTGGATAGGAGAGGCACTCTTCCTTCCTTCCTTTCTGAACTTATCCCACAGATTAACTGGACTTGGGGTGTTGATGCGACCCACTGGATGTCCCTGTCAGTAAATTACAAGGTTTACATCAACATCAGGATATTTGGCTTAGGACACTCCAGGTAACTTTTTTTTATAAGAGCAAGGTCTATTGTGTACAAGGAATTCAGAATCAAAGACAGAAAAAGGAAAATGATCTTTGGTTTTAATTTACACTCTTCCGTATGAATTGTTGTGACTTTGTGTAATCTTTGTTGACACAAATGGACCTGTTTTATCAGTTTCAACAACCCTGCCTGTCGTTAAAAGAAACAAAATGAAAGTAACAACGGGCAAGGGTGCATGCATCACCATACTTCAGAATAACTCAATCACATGGCAAAACAATGTTCAATCATGACTAAGATTCAATAAATTGAAATTGAGAAATAATGACTGCAATACATCGGCACATGCCAGTAAAATTCACTCCGTCACAGTCCTCTATTCTGCGCACAAGTTAAGTATATTTATTATTCAGCATTCAATATACCGGTAGAGCTGGAAAAGATGAAGGATCTCGTTCTTGGAGCTCCAAGAGGGCCAAAGATTCCTCCAGCGCTCGCTTCTCTTCATACTCCTCCTGACTCATGGCATTATGCATATTGTGATTACAACGACCACCGCCTCGTCCTCGTCTAGATGGAAATTTGGAGAGGACGAAACAGAATTTTGCAGACTTTCATATCACAATCAATGACGGATAAATTCTTGTTTAAACAAGAAGTGAAAGTGATATTTTGCAAATGAAATTCTTACTGATAAGGAGATGTTGCTCTGGGGTTCTGCCTGTCAGATTGCATCAATGGGTGCATGAATGATGGATGTTGCTGATGCTGCTGTTGATGACCCTGTTGATTGTAACCTTGAAAGTTGTTGAAAGGTAAAGAAGAATTCAAAATTGAACGTCCCATGAGGATTCTGACAAGGGCCTACATGCTTTTGTGATCAGTTCACCTCAATCATCTTTGAAATTGGACAAAGATGACTTCTCTGACTTCAAGAAGGAATTGGATGATCTTCTTGGATCTTTCGTTTTTAAGCATGCAGTATACAATTCCGTTTTCTTCTATCCTTACCTGATTCACTATTGACTCCATTTCCATACTTTGGATAATAGCCGCTTACATTCTTGTAGTTTCTAACTCCAAGAGGGCTCCAAGGACGATGAGGACTCACAGATTCAAGAGGTTTGAGATTCTTAATTGGAATAGTGTGTCTGAAAACAAAACGGAAATTGATAACTAGATTTCTTGGTCCTAGTTATAAGTAAGGAAAACTTTTCTGGAATAGGAAACTACTTTGCACTGAGCAGCTTTTCAAGTTAGTACATGGGTAATTCCAGATATTAGGGGTTCAAAAGTGGGACATTTGTGTGTCCCAGTTACATCTGACCTTTGTTATTTGACAACTACACATATTACTATTTACTTGGCAGGTAATTTGCATTAATTCTTCCACTCTTGGAAATTAGAAAATGTGTTCTAACTTACAAAATCATATGTCAGATGTGACAAGGACAGAAAACGATGGACCCCTAATTTCTGGAATTACCCACATATAGCTTGGTGAAATGAGGTTGACATACTTTTCACCCAAATCTTCAATGAAGACTGTAACGAGTCCATTGTTGGGTTGAACGTCCTGAATGTGAGCATCGTACAGCTTCTTCGGGTCATCTAAGAATACCTATTAAATGAATAACACAAATAGACATTTGTACTGTCAAATAATAACCTTGCAGAGTTGTAAAACTATGTGAATAAAAATCAAAGACACAGGTTCTATTGGATAACTTAAATTCCTTGATCCTGTCTCACCTGACATTTGTCACCTGGTGCATATTGCATGCCAGAGGCAACTAGAAAATCCTGCTGCTGTTGTTCTATTGGAATAAAACAGTGAACATATAAGTCAACAGATAGTGTCTCCAATTCTTCACTTCCAGTTCAATCAACCTACAGGCCCCACACAACATCCCTAGAGTGTGCTACATAGCCTGCCAATACAGTTCAAATGTGGGCACTAAGAATTACCCACATGAAAAAATGAACCAGTGTCAAAGTTTAGTGATATTAATTCATGCATAATGTGACAACTACCTGGTGGATTTGCATGTGACTATACCATACACTGTGAGCATTTGCAAGATTTAAGGTGATGGCATACATTTTGATTTGGGAAATGGCATCATAGAGAACTTACAATGAATCTTGGCAATTTGTCTTTTCACTGGTTATGGATAACAACTCAGAAGAAGCTCAAAGAATCCAGAAAATCTTTAAATCTACTCTCTTACCTTTTCTGGTTTCATTCCAAGCATCAAACTCCACATTGCGGTAGATCTCAGGATCCAGAGCTTTGGCAACCCGATATGGGAGAGGTGGTCTTCTCTTCTCCTCATGGTACCGGCCAAATCGATCTCTCCCATCCTAAAAACATATGAAACCAAGTCTGAAATTCAATCAAAAGACTATCAGTACAATGGATGACAAGTAGCTTGTCCTTATGTGCACTCTATCCATGCCATTACAGACAGACATCTCTCTGGACTGTTTACAGGCAAGTCAATTCATAGGACTTGCAATGCTACTTGGTGTACATACCATGCCCATCTGTCAGTCACTGCCTGATCAGGTGAGCTTTGCTTTGAACTCCAGGCTTGTTCAAATAATTCAAGGTTACACCATATAGGATTACCCAGTGACCAGGATTAGATGCCATAAATGCAGCAGCACCATGCTTATGCACAATTGATATAAATGCACCAAATGCCTCTTTGACTAATTGAGTATTATGACTTGGCAAAATACGCACCCACATGTGCTTCTAATGAGGAACACACTAATTAATAGTAAGGTACTATCTCAATAATGGCATTTGTGGAAGTAGGTTAAATGTACAGTTCTTACCCTTTCCATTCCCATGTGATCTCCTTCCATGCCACGCCCATCTCTCATTCCATCAGGTCCATAGTTACCATCTCGTCTCATGGGTTTCTTGCCCGAGCTGCGCAAAATATCTACTGCTTCATCAACTTGCCTGGCAAGCTTGAAGACATCCTTGTACAGCATCTCATAGATAACCGCTGTTTTAGCATTTGACACAAAGAAAAAGTCACATTAGGATGTCATTCCTAAGAACTGATAAAAAGGTTCTGTTGCTTAGAGTACTTAGAGCAATCCCTGTCAGAGTGGTGTGCAAGTACAGTTGTAGTGAGAACTACAGCTAAACATATTGGTAGCAAACAGCTGTCCAGACCTCTACTGTTTGAGGATTTTTTTGTTTAATATAAAAAATGGAAAAATTGCAATGTCTTCAAACAAACAAAATCTGTAAGCTTCATCTAAACAGTACAACGGTACCCTTGTGGCCCCATTTCAAACCAGGTGCCATTTATCCTGGTCTAAAAATGCAGAAGCTTTAGTGGATAAAACTCTGTATTTACATTGACAGATGGCGGCACTCTCTTGAAATTTCTTGGAGTAGACACTGTCATAGTGGTTACCATGTGAGAAACAGAGCACAACCTTTTAAAAACATAGTAAAAAAGGAGGTATCAAAGTCTGGAATACTAACACTCATTTTAATTTGATTCAAACATTCATAAAATACAGCATGACAATTTAAAGGACAGGCTACTTCAAGCTTTGTCTGAAAATATCCAAGCCAAAGAGAAAATAAGACAGTTTAAAATTTCTGTTATTTCCCAACTCCATCTTGGTTTATGATGGTCACAAAAACATTACAAAATAAAAAAGACAAAATTAGCCAAACATTTTTGATAGCTATGGGTAATTCTAATGAGATATGTGGGCAAGTAATTGTTTCAGTTTTGCAGGGATTAGATTTTTTAATTCAGCAGGGCCAATACAAATAACAATCCAACCAAAAAAAATGCAGTAAGAGTCAAAATTTTGGTCACAAAATTTGTAATGTACATGTACCTTCTCTGTGAATCCATTCTGAGTGACATTGAAAGCACCAATCCCAGGATTCTGATAGACCAAGAAGTCGCGCCTGAGTAACCAACCATAAAAGTAGTAAGTGCAATATGAGAATAGTTGGAAAATTGCATTAGATTCATGCTTACAACTCACTTGCATCATTTGTTCACAAAGACATCTAAGAAAGCAAAATTGGTCGAAACTTACTTGTACATGAGAGACAATGCACTAATTTCTACTTGGCCAGCCCATTCCTGAAATACAATTATACAAAATGTGATTGTTCCTACACACGTTTATCAATTCTCTAAAGGAAAGGATATTCCTGATCTTGAGAAAACTCATCAATAAGAAATAAATGAGAACAGGCAGTACCGATAAACTTTTACTCTTGACTATATCTGGTCTTCTTTACTACTTACTGTGCTAAGATAGCAGCACCATAATTGTTGATTTCCTGGACAAAGAGATTTTGTAAGCATGAATAAATTTACCTTTGGGTTCTTTAGCTTCAAAAGATGTTCTTCAAAGGGGCCCTCAATAAACTGCAAGGAAACATAAGAAAATTCAACCGACAGTTATGTGATTCTTTTCTGAAATACACCATCTATTCATTCTTTTTTGTACCATGAATAGTCTTGTTTGAACTTACCGGAGCAAAGCGGTCTTTGTTATTTTCCATGTACTGGACACATGCTTCCCTTACTTTGAGATGGTGGGCTTGTGTGTGGAAAACCTGTACGGGATTAAAAAAAGATTTAGGACAGTTTTGACATTGTGTCCATCAAAGTGATGTACTGAAAATTGTGGAAACATTCTCCTAAGAAACATACTTTTGTTTTATTAAACACAATGAAGACAAGCATTTTGTTAATTTCAAAATATTACACAGGGGAAAATTTTCTACAAGTACACAACCATGACTACTGTGCTGACTAAACGTTACAAGCTCTATGGTGTGATGACGTTTCAATTCTAATCGTGAAATTGGAATCACAGAGAAAATTTGGGCAGAATCGATTCCAAATTCCAGCAAAGTTTCAAACATTAAGGTTTCTGCTAAATACTACTCCGGATGAACTTGAAGCCTCTGTAGAAAATTGTCCAAACCGAATGCTTTTGTCTATTCCCTCCTCCATGTTTATTTTATACAGTTTAATGTGTTTAAGGAACTATCAAATATTTGTGCCATTGTTTCAATTGTCGCTATCTGCAGACAGATTCTAGCTTTTCTTTGTGTATGTCTAGACAAACGTTTTGAACACGCGGCATTTCCTTACCTGCTCTGCAACTGCGCGAAAAAGGCATGAGCCATCCTTTGCAGTAATTTTCCTGTACAGACCAATGGAAGACAAATAGTCGTCTATCGGCTCAATAATTCTCTGAAACCGACGCATTGTGACAGCTAAATATCACCAAACAAAGGACCTCATGTGACTTTCCAACACTGCCTTTCCCATGAATGAAAATTCAGGGAATACAGTGAGTATTTAAACAACAAAAAGACGGAAAAAGTAACGAAAATACGACAGCTGAAATTTCCTTCAATCTGTCGCCATTTCTGCTTTGCATGTGCGCAATGCGGATATTGTGCGCACGTAACACGAAACATGTGGTTTGTGTTTACAGCTGATTCACTTGAGCACGTGCGGTTCAGCGAGGCACGCTCTGATTGGCTGAATTTTTTTGACCCAGACTGAGGCCTGGCGGCTGACCATATCCTTCTTCAGTCCGTGGCCGAGTCTGACCATGGAGAAATATGTGTTTTATTTCTCCATGGTCTGACATACATGGAGGTAGAATCTGACCATGGGGAGATTAGGCCTACAATTTGAAGAATTAAATTCATTGTTGATATCACACAATTTTCCTAACATAGTTTATTTTTGTTGTTGATATTGTAATTCACACTCAAAAAGAATAACAAACACCCTCTTGTTAAGTCTCGATCGCAACGGGGAGGGGGTCTAGAAATCTGAGTCAATTGCTTTGAGCATCGAGGGCGAGCATGTAGCACCACGAATACGACAAGTTGCTTATGATTTCCTTCACAAAACTCTTAAATTCCGAGTGTCATGGTTTAGCCCTTGTGCTGACCTTGGGCTTTTTTTTCCTGAAGCTTGACGCAATATGAGTTTAATTCCTGTTTTAATTCATTGAAAAACTAATCAGTTTAAAAATTTCTTACTCCCAGCTCCCCACAGTACCCATGCATAGGAGACAACATGATAAAGGAGGACGTTCTTATTAATATTCTTTTCTCAAGTATAATTGTTTCATGTCGTAAACAGGAAACAAAGGTAGAAAATTGCCAATTTATCTGTCTTTTGCTCAAGCACGTATTTTAAGATTTCAAGTTTTCTCTTTTTTTTTACAAACATTGCTTGCAGGAATAGCAAACGACTGATTCAAGTTTAGTAAAGTCTAGTATCCACTTACTAAAATGTTTTGATAAGACTTTTCATGATCACAGCATGGTACCCGGGTGTTAAGTCTAGAGTCTGCCTCTAACGTGTAATTCACAAGCGGTCAGATATTAGTCTGTTGTCCAGATGAAATCACCATAACGACTGAGTAGCCATTTTCTAATTCTACAACTGTACCACTCTAAAACAGGTTAAGGACTTTTTTAGTTTTTAAATGCTAGAAATTGTTGCAATGAAACTTTAACAATGTGCTGTTCAGTCGACCCATGTTTCATTTTTCGCACTATCTAATACTTATACAATTAGAGAATTTTATTTTCGTGGGCAACAAGGTAAGAAAAGGTCCACTATCCTAGCTTGTTTTCGTCATTCTCGCGGTCGGAAATTGGGGATTGTTCCGTTTATGATTTAGGCCTAGGGGCTTTAGGCCTGTTGCACTCACGTCTGGGCAAAGTGGTAACCCCCGTTCACTTTGTACAGGGATTTGCATGTTTTCCTCCTTTTTTTGCTGCAACATTATAAAATAACTGAAACCTTTTCGGTATAATACTAGTATGGGACATATTCATAGTGCATAAACAGTGAAATTTCAGGCATCAGCCTAGGCCTATCATCCATCAGTCATGTGTCAGTCATGTCAGTATTTGATAAAGCCTGGTTCAGAACAGTGAGAGTCTACCTGTTAGTGTTAGTCAATAGGCCTTGGCCTAGAATAGGGGGGCCTGTGCCTAACCTCAAGCCTTTTTCACATCTCACGTGCACTTGCTTTAATAGAGGGGAACAAATTCATGACAAGAACGTTTGGCAAATTGCTGCTCACGATGTTATCGTTGTAGACAATATGTTCCCTTCTTCTAGCTTTGTTGACTTCATCGTGTGCACGTGGAGGTGCTATAATTTACATGGCGATGGAACGGGAAATTGGTTTAGGCCTATAGGCATAGTTCAGATTTTCCCGATAGACTGCAACACCATCTTTTCCCCCTTTGAGTTTCTAGTGTGAAATATGGAATAGCCACCAATTGACCAATTAGACAGAAGAATAACACAGTGATGTCATCAAGGCCTAATGTCATCCCAACAGGGAGAATGTTCACGTAGTTATTAGTTTTGCCTAGGCTAATGTTTAGGCCTAGGCCTTAGCCCAGGTTGCACGTTGTCTTCATTTACACTACAACTGGCATCCAGGGTACAAAGTCCTCCTGCCATAGCAAAAATTTTTTCAATTTTTTTTCTCACATTTTGACAGGGCAATTTTCAAGATTTTCTGTATTCAAAATTCTTCAAAAATTCATTACTTCATTTACCTGATGTTTACACGCACATGAATGACTGTCTGGCGGCTACTCTAATCTGTCAGACATCCTCCATTGACAACCAGGTATTGCAGCCAGGACTGCCACCTAGTAAAGAGAGCCCACAATTGTGTGGTGTTGCGTAATTTCTTTGTTCCGGAAATTGGCCCAGTGCATTGCAGAATGGCAGTGGTGTCTTTTCAAATGCGGCCAGATTAGTGTGCAGCGGTACTGTTTTGTTCATCCTGGAGAGCTGGAGCACTTTTGTCCCCGCTGATAATCCACGGGCTCTGAATGCCACACACAGTGGTATTCTGTTTCAAAACAATGACAGATTACCTCCTCTAATGCCAGCCGAAAAATTATGGCAGTTTCCAGCAGCTCAGTCTTTTGTTCCGAGTATGGTCCTTTGTTACAAGGCCCTGCTCCTTTGTCTGATTTCGGGCACTCGGGGTTAAGCGCACAAATCCAAGGTACCTGGTGCCGGGAACCCCGGCACCGAGTGGTTAAAGCTCAGCCCACATTCTGTCAGTTATCTGTGACTTATTCACGCCTACAGGTCTTCTGCACATGAGTAAGGGGCAGTCAGTTGCTATGCATTTCACGCATATGCAACTGCGTACTATTAGACGAATGTAGATTGTTCATGAATTTTGACGGAAAGTGTGGAGTTGTGCTAAATTTCCTGCAAAGTACATCGTCCATGGGCGTATTTAGTAATTTGAGCACAGCATTTATGGAAGTTGGGATACAACGCACTTGTGAATGGTTTTTTTAGGTGCCTCTGCCAGGTAGAAATGTGAGAAAAAACGTTGAAAAAAATTTCACTATGGCAGGAGGACTTTATACCCTGGATGTTAGTCGCAATGTAATATAGACAACGTTCACTGTGCTAGCCTAGGCCTATGCTTTTTTACTGTCCAGGTGGACTCCTTGACCACTGACCATACTGTATTACGTAAAATCTTTTCAATGTTGCATCTTCTTTACACTTTTAGCATCATATATCATCTCAGTAAAGGGCAATCATTGCAAAAATGTTGAAAAGACATGGATTTGGGACTGAAAAAATAGGAAATACTTTTGATTCCCCATCAATTTTTTTTACACAGCTGCTGAAGTGAAGTCTGGATTTAACATTCTTTCCTTACATGCATTTCATCCATTTTGGTAAATTACCTGTCTGCCCTTGATATTTTATTCATCCAGTTTCGAGATAATTTCTCCCAATATGGCTGCACCACTTCCAGCCATCCACAACACAAGAGGCCATTCGCCCATTCATGATCAAGCCATTCCACAGCACAGAGTCCCCAGCCCACCAAGCCAATCCAGGCCACAGGATCAATATGTGAAACCCAAGCTGAAAGGCCAGGGCAGGAGGGAGCGTGAACATGTGATGAAACAGTATCTGTTGACGAACAAGAAGCCCAGTTTGACAAAGCTTGATACACAGAAGTGAGTCTGTAATTTTTGTTTTGCATAAAGAATTAATTAGACATTGTTTGAATCAAATGTGTTGCTAGGTCTACTTTATTATTTTTCTTTCTTTCCCGACTGGCCATATATCATTAGCAGTTTGCATGATGGTATAGCTACATTCCTTTTTGATTTAGTGATGCAGGGCTTCATTTCAATAAATACGAGGAGAGCTAAAAATCGCTCTCCTTAATTCACTTTGTTGATTTAAGGAGAGCGATTAAAAAAAAAGGTCTATGATCGTACATTGGTTTGGTGGAATCCCGGCCCCGGGGGAACCGGGACTTTCGAAAGTGTAGTGGGGACGTACCCGCGAATGTCCCAAAAAAGGTGCCCCGCCGGCTGGGACGATAGCGGGGACTTGCCCGGGGCCGTACAATGGCTGCCCTGCTGACCCTGGACGATAGCAGGGACTTGGCGGGGGTTGTACAATTTGTTAAACCGTTAAATTTTGAAGGAGCGCTTTTTTTGCTCTCTTTAGAAAACATTAAGGAGCGCAGAGGAGCGCAAGCACGATTGCGCTCCTTTAAAATGAAGCTCTGGTGATGATATTATGTACATGTAGTACCTTGCCCATACTGGCAGTTATTGTTTTGTGTTATTGTTTATCAAAGTGAATTTCAGGAAAATTTACTTTTCTTCATTTAAAAGGGTTGGCAGGTCTTTGCAGATTCATTAATTTGTTTTCTAGTGTTATTCACTTTAATTAGGACCTAATTCTGTTTGTTTTTTTCCAGGTATCGCAACACATTTTTCCACAACCTGTGCCTTGAGATGTTGAAGGATGGCTTCCACCGGTCTTTCTCAGAGGTCTTTGCCTTGGTCCAACAGCAAAAGGCTGAGATTAATGCGGCAGGACCAGACTCCCTCTTGCAAGACCGCCGTCTCTTGGCAGAACAGGAAGTGAAGCTGGAGGAGATGAAGAAGAGACTAACTGAGGCAGAGCTTGCTCTCAGAATAGGTATGGTGTTGCAGATTCTGTGTGACTGCCGATAAGCCTAGCTCTGTAGTCATTGACGCCCCCAAAAGAACAGTTACACTTAAGATACAAATTTGCCTGCCACCGTGGGATGTTGACTTCGCTTAGTCTGAGATATAAATCAATCAATATAAATTTATCAAAACAATAACATTTTGAAATATCCGTGTATCATACTAAGTCATGGATACAATGCAACGTAAATTGACCCAGCATTGCAAAGCACATCGTTGGAAAAACCGTCTACACTTTGGCTGAAAATTACAGAAAAAAAATCAGACTTATAAACTTTAGTACTAGAAAGATTAACTCACAACTCTGCTGAGATTATAGGCCATCACCAGCAGCAAAACTGCAGCTCCAAATTGGTCACTTAACAACGATAAGTTAGACTTACAGTGGAACGCCGCTATAACGAACACGACGGAGTCCACACTAAATGTTCGGTACAGCGGTCGTTTGGTATAGCGAAATTAACTGCCGAACGTTTCGTTGCCATGTTGAATAGCGCGCCCTCTCTTGTCTAACTGAAGTGCACCTTCTTGTGATACTATGATTCGCTGTTTTCTGGATGCTTTGCCGTTGCATTCACGTTTGAGATTTCTAGAAATGTATCTGTTAATTATTTTAGTTTTTTCATGAAATCTTGAGTTACAAAATTGATATTTAATTTATCCTAAAAGTCGTGAAGCTACCACTTGGGATCGATCTCTGATACATTCTGTGGCAAATCTCAGTTGATTTGCAACTGCATAATGTTCAGTAGGTTTTGTGCACAAAATATTGGGAGCCAAGGACAATGTTCGGTACAGCCGAATGTTCGGTACAGCGGTGTTCAATATAGCGGCGTTCCACTGTACTCGCTGAGGCTTTCTGCTGCAATACCCAACAATGAGAAACAAATGTCGAGCATGACTCGAATCTCAGGAGTTGTGGTTTAACGCCACATGTCTAAACCCACACACGTGTATACATTATACATGTACAGACTGCATGACATACTTACTGTGACCTTGATAAGTAAACATTTGGACGCGCAGTCCCAGAATTCATGCCTCATTAGGCAATGCCTTCAGACTAATGAATAAATCATGCACCCAAGGCCAAAGGTAAACCTAATACAGTTTGACAGTGTACACCTGCATTACATATGGGATGTGTGCATCAGCAATTGAGAATGCTATGTCGTTCACTCTTGATAGCCAGGATAGGGGTAGCATGACAGCTTGCAAGAATCATTTGATGGAAATTCAAGCTCTGCATCAAAATATCTGAAGGTTTTGAAATTGCATATCTTAAGTGGAGCACTGTTTTAGGAAGTATGTTTTGGTTGTAGCCTGTGTCAATTTACACACCTCCTGAGCTTGAATCGAAGAAACTTGAATGGTGATGGATTTTTGTAATTTCATATTACGACTCACTGAGGCCCTCTTTTATCAACAGATGACATAGACGGTGTCTTCACGGCTAGAAACCACCTCGCTGAGTACTTCCTTGACACAGGGGATCTGTGGTTGTCTGATCATTTCTTCATTTCTTGTCTTGAGATGGCACAGAAAATCAAAGGAGATGGTAGAAGGAAGGAAGGAGAGGCCCATTGCAATATGGGTAGAGCCTATGAGAGGAGAAGTAAGTTAAGTCAGGAACTGTTTACTCCTTTTTAAGGAACAGAAAACAAAAAATGGTTAATTCATCATATCCTCCAAAAGGCCTCTGTGCATGAAATTAAGTCATATTCTCTGGATGCTATTGATAATAGTGACAGAAATTTAATTGCATTTAGTTGATTCTGCATTCTGGACCTGACCTGAGAAATTTCAAGATAATTGTACCTGTAGGATATGTGCGTAAGAACAGATGCTATCGTCATAATTCATGCCTGTTTGAAAGCTCGTATTGCTCCTAGACATAGACAATAAGCCTTTTGCGAGTTAAATTTGAATAAAATCTGGTACACTGAATTCTTCTTATGCGAACATAAAAATTTGAATTCTACATACGAAAGACACTGTTGGTATACCTCGTGATTCGGGGCAAGTTTTTGCTTACTTTACATAAGAGATGCCTTGCACCAATACTCTGTTTCCAGTGGATAAGAAGGGTACAAAGGATCCAGTCCATGCCAGAGATGGTGGTCACAGTGCAAAAGCTTGCCCCAAATCACGAGGTATTGCAACAGTGTCTTTAGTCCCTGGAAATTCGAATTATGTTTATGTGCAATCAGATTATTCAGTGTACTAGATTTTACAGAACTTGCAAAAGGCTTTAATATTTTGTTTCCGTCTGTTGCCAACTTGCAGAGGAATACAGAGAGGCAGCTGTGCATTTTGAAGCCTTTGATGACTTGACATCCAAGAACCCTGATTGGAAGAATGCAGAGGGACAGAGCCTTCACTCAGAAGCATGTGAACATCTTCGGCGGTTATACACAACCATAGCTGAGATTTACCAACAGGGAGAGGGGAAGGATCCTCAGGAAGCCATTGCTAACTTGCTGAAAGCATTTGAGAAAGCTAAAGAGAGTAGGTACAATTCACAGAAATGGACTGCTCTGAGTTCATTCTTGTTGAACAGTAAAGCAACAAAACTATTACTTTGGAAATTGGCACTTGAATGAATTGTCAAATTATTTGGAAATTTTTCTGAATGTCTAACCAGGAAAAGGTAGTGCTTTTTAGTGATGTCACATGATTTTACCATTCCTGGACTGTGAAGGAGAATGCCTTTTGTACACTTTTGTTATTTGATTACCCATCATGACGCAGACTTGAGGGTAATTTCTTGTGGCCATGATTTCAGGTGGAGATGGGCAGAAGGAGGGAGAAGCCAGCTACAGGTTGGGTTTGGCCTACGAAAGCATCGGTGACTCAGAAACTGCACTCATGGTAACTGTGGCATTCCTTTAATCATTACATATGAGAAATTGGATTGATCTGGGTTTCTGATTTGAATCTTGAAAGAGACCAACGGAGACTAAATCCATATTGCATAATGCATTCAGTATCATACAGGGTTCATGGACATCTGTAAGAAGGTTGGAGACCAGGATGGTATGGGGAAAGCTTGTGAAGCCATTGCTAAAGCATATGAAAAGTAAGTCCTCAGTGATTTCTTCTCAGTGTAATGTTTTCTGCGCTGCAGTCAGTGAATATTCTGCTTCTTTACTATTCATATATCCGTCATAAATTGGTCAAGGTGATTTAAGTTGATCTGCCTTATAAGAGGAAAATGCAGATCAACTTTAATCTTGGTCTATTGATCTACCACTGTTACCATTGAAGTGTTTACTAGATTTGTCCATAAACTGCATTTTCCACTGTTATCCTTAATTCAGGCAAGGGAAACTGGATGAAGCAGTCAGATATTTGGAGATGTTTGAAGATATTGCTGAGAAAAGTGACCAGTTGGCAGCACATGGCAAGGCCTGTAGTTGCCTTGGAGAAATTTACAATTCCCTGGTGAGTACACACATGGTGACCAAAAGACAACGAATCCTGATTTTGGACTATCATGTCAATGAAATTGCAGTAATCATCAGTTCTTTTCTTACTTCCTTGGTGAAATTTAATGGAAAGCATACCTACAGTGGATTCTTTGTTATTAAACTTGCAAACAACAGGGCAAGTACAAGAAGGCCTCCCACTACTTTGGCAAAGCCTTCAACATCGCTCGTAGCATGGACAAACCTCCCTTCTTTGAGGCCATGAGGGCAGAATTCGGAATTGCCAATGCCCATGGAGCCCTGCGTCGGTTCATGGGGTTGATTGAGAGACCGGATAAGACCAAGATGCTGGAACTGATTGACTGGAAGGATGTCAGAAATGACCAGATGGCAGAAGAAGAAGGTGGGTGGGTCCCTTCTCTATACAGACCCAAACGGTGTTTTCCCAAATAATTGGCGAAGAGTTGTGCTTGATTCAGAATGTGCTACTTCTAATAAAATTCTCAAACAAATGAAAAGAAAAATGCTTAGGAGCTTATGGGGGTTACTCCATACAGTTTCTTTATAAAATCTGCGCATAGTGTGCATTGTCAGTGCAAGCAAGCTTGGGGGCTTCCACAGCATACAGACAATTGCAGTGCGTGTTATAGGGTAATCATTTACAGATTGCCAATAATCATTAACCAGTAATCAGTCATCAATACGCTATGTAATTTCACAACAATATGTTAATGGCTTGTATGTCTTGCGTTATTTTTATGTATAATTTCTTCTGTACTTTGCATGTTTTACAGATGAACCAAGCAAGTGATCAGTTCCAACAATTGGCTGTTTATTTCCACCAAATGTCCGTTGTATATCAATTATGCTGTTTACATGAAAACAGTTGCAGAGAAGTCTGTAGATCTAAGGAACAGTCCAGGTGAACAATCACTTCCAAGAACAAAGATTTTCAATAAAGACAACAATGAGAAACACAAGATTGACTTAGTCTTTATCAGAGTCAATTAACCTATCCAAAGATTCTTTGAATGCACATTCATTTCTGCGAAGAGACCAGACAGAGCAACAGGTACCAGGCACAAGAACAAAGCAGTTTTCGTGTTCAAAGAAAACCCTTGTAATGTATACATTAAACATGCTGGTCAAAACACCTCCCACCGTTTATTTAGAAAGATAAAGGCTTTTGTATTTTTGAGATTTTTAGAACACAACAATTAAATACAGGTATTTTAACCCCTTGCCACGAAGGCCACCTGTCAATCCGCAAATTCTCGGGTTGTGGGCCTGCATGCTCTGCACGCTTTGAATTACTCAGTGAAAAGACTGATTGTTCGGTGGCATGCGGCTCTACTCACCCTTCCACATTCCTGTTGCCTCTTTACAATTTACTTTTGTAAAGCTGGTGATTATGATGCAAATTGGGTCTTTTCATTTCTGGGCTACACACAAAGGCCAATCACCATATATACAAGAGCCAGGGTCTGCCTTCTTTCACCGTGTTCGCTCAAGCATGAGCCGAGCACAATAGCTGAAAAGCGGGCTTAGGATCTCAATTTTTACGGGGGCTATATTCGCGTCCCGGCGCGAAGGGGTTAAGTAAATTTGTGTATATTAACTGTAAATAGATTTCAAAGTATAATTGTACAAACCAGTCATTCCTTGCATGTTGTAAAGGTTTTCAGTGAAGGAGTCAGTTGTATATATTATGGTAGTTATGAATAATTACTTCAGTAAGATGCTTGTTCGTCACTGTACATGTATGTTTGTTGTAGATTTATATATATATTTAGTTCGTGAATCCGTCCTCCATGACTGTTCTGGTTAAAAAAGCTCTTGTATGCAGTATACACAAGTGCCTTTGGGTATTTCGAGCAGTTTCAAGTTTTCACAAATGATCAGTACTTCTCTCCGTCCAGAATGATTTCGATGTTCTCCAATAATACATAGAACACATTTAATTTACTTCAGATTCCACATGCCTTTTAGTTACTCGCTGTGTTGTTACCATTCTTTATTTCCTTGACAAAACACAAAATTTCTGCAGAATTCCACAATTCTTTGAAATATCTCATAAAGATCTCTTTAAAAATTAATAATTATAAATAAAACAGTCATTTCAAATTACAACCACTCAAAAACCATCTCCGTCAAAACAGCCTTACTGTACTGTAACTATTTTTTGTGCACTAGCCTACATCATTACATCAAGCAAAATGGAAAAAAAAGCAAGCTGAAGGCAGATTCATACTTCACGCAAAAGTGAACACAAATGCAAATTTGTGACACCAAATCAAATACATGTATTTGTGCTGCGAATTCACAAAAGTTGAAATATTTCAACTCAAGTGAAATTTCGCTGCAAATCTTTTGTGACGTCGAATTCACTTCACTTTCACATTTGTCTGTAGTATGAACCGGCCTCAAGACTGTAGATAATTCACTGGACAACAATGGGTGACCGTGAATTACATGTAAACCTCATTTTTCAGTATAGGGGAATTTGGTGACCCAGCCTTTCACCCAATCAGTACATGCTTATGTGGACTACATTCATTTCATGTGCCCAGCATAATGTCAGTCTGGCATTTTTCCCAAAGAACTCACTGTTACAGCTTGCTAAATATGCCCTTCTGTCATAATGGTTCAAAAGTTAAATGTTCACTGGGTCATTCAGTACATGCAGTGTTTCTCCAATGTGTATTTCTGCAGTTAATTCAGTTCAGAGAAACATTTCACTAAAATAATATCATGCAAGGTGCATTATAATTAAAGGTACATGATCAGATGTTAATACATGTATCTACAACTACTACATCCATGGGTTTTCTTGTGAAAAGTTCATCTTAGCCATGTGTTTGCTTGTCAGTTACATTTGTATATATATGGCTATTATTTACTCATTCTAAAAACAGCAAGACGTTAGTAAAAATAAGCTGCAAATACATCTATGCTAACAAGATGAAATTAAATGAAAGCAGAGAGGATAATGCATACCCAGACCAGCCAAAGGTAAACTCATTCAGCATAAAGCCACACCTCTCTGCTTGATCCAATCATATTTGTCAATCAGTTTAACACCAAACAAACATTAAGTGAATTCAAAATGTATTGGGTATCACTAATATTCTGCTGAGGGAATTTCGAAACTCAGCAATCAGAACTTTTTACAGCATTCAGAATATTTGCCTTAATGTCCGATTTGGAGAAGCCCCGGTACATCTAGTGCTCTTATGGAAATACATATGAATTTATTTATTTGAAAGCACCTAATTTTGATGCAGTGGAATGAGCATTCCCTTTTAATTAAAAACTGGAGTTTTTGGCATTGCTGAAAGAAAGTTCAAAGTCCTCTGCAAACACTATATTATATAAATGATTGTTGAAACATCAAGGGCTATCTTTCCACTCACAGAGAGATTGAACACAAACAGTGCTAGACAAGTTTGTATTTTGGTTGAGGAGAGGGTACTCATGAATGTTTCACTACAGAAATGATTCAATCATGTTATCTGGTGTCAAACACTGAATGCTTTCATTTCGTTCCGAGGATCACATGGTTACTTCTGCTGCTGTTGGCCAAACTTGATGGCATCCAGAGCACGATTGATATCACCTCCCTTAGTCTCCAGCAGACGAGTCAACCAGCCACCCTCATCAGTGTATCCCATGGCTTTCATGTAGCTCAGGGCAGAGGCAATACGATCATCTATTGTACACAAAACAAGAAGATAACATTTCACTGTGGAGTCTTCCTCAAAAGTACCACTAGTACCACAAATCAAGGTTTTTGGTCCCATTAGTTGTATAAGGAAAGTAAGCAGGGTAACTACATTACCTCTTGAACATCTCCCACAAAAGAAGCCATTATAGCTTGAATTGGGAATTGTCTCCCTTAAATAGTTATGCTAGCTTGACATCAGTATTTCAACTGGCCTGGATGTTTATTACTGACTGACCTGGATGAGTGCTGATGTGCAGAGCTTGCAGTTTTTGAGCTTCAGAATCCACAGCCTGGTCTGTAGCATCAGCAGCTTGGCTGGTACTGGCCCAGGCTGGCGCAGATGGTTCTGACTGGCTAGAACTGGATTCATCCAGCAGGGTCCAGTCGGGCTCTTCTTGACGATTCCCAACAGTTTCCTGTGTTTAAACATGAGAAAAATAAAGACTACTTCAAGTAGTCTTTAGTTCTACTAGTTCTACTAGTACTTGACAACAGTACGCATTTCTTTAAATCTTCAGATTTAATTTTAATTTCTAAACACTTCCTCAATGAATTTAACTGATTCACAGATCTTTTGTAACAGCCCTGTTACTCTTAAGTTGACAAACATCTTCAGTCATCAAATTACATCATAATTTCTCGAAGTTTCCTTTCCATTTTTTAACATGGATTGAAGGCATATCTCGAGCCCTCATCCATTTGGTGATAGGATTAGCCCATTTCTTAAACCCCTCCAATATCCAACTAATCTTACAAGCACTCACCATGGTGTCGGGTTCCTTGTCAGCTTTCTGGCTGTCTGGAGGTACAGCACCACTGTCAGTCTTGGCATCAGCAGCCCCAGCCTCCTCCCCCTCCTCGCTGTTCTTCCATTTGCCCTTGTGACCTTTCTTGCACTTGCCATGGCCACCATGCTTGTGTCCGTGCCCTTTGCCCCAGGTGTGGAAGCGACCACCACCGCGTCCATCACCACTACAATTGCGCCGTTGACCACCATGCTCCACATCTATATCAACATCAATGCCTATCAAACAAACAAATGCTCACGAATAACAGCCCCTTAGAGCAACAACTCTTTGGTAGTAAAACATACAAACCCGAAAAGGAATTTACTGGCCCACTTTCTCAAACCTGAAGCTTATCTGCGTATTATATTTTAAGGGCTACTATCTGCAAAATATGCCAGGATTTCTGAATCAACAATTTCATGTTGGCCTTGAGAGAGTTCATCACTGGAATTTAATCACCAAGGATATGGAGGCATCTCCTTCTGACATTTTTTGAGGAGAACCCATTATCTTACCAAGAGGATCCAACATTTGAGCCACGCTCTGGCCGATATTGTGAAGAAAGCTGACTGGGTTGAAGTTTTCCTGGCCCTCTTGGGAAGGTCCGGCCTGGCCGTTCCCCTCAGGGTTCGGAGACGCTCCCTCTGGATTCCGAGGATTGTCCTGGCCACACCCACTCTGCTGCTGTTGCTGCTGCTGCTGTGCCCACCAGTGACGCCAGCCAGGGTGGCCAAATGAACGCCACATGCCAGGATGGCAACCAAAACCCTACAATCAAGATAGGTAGCAAGATGCAAATGAATTAGAACAAAATCAACATTTTACAATAAAAAAAAAGGAACAGGATGTATGACCTAAAGGACACACAAAGAAAAAAGTGCTAGCCGTTAAGGTGCCAATTGAAAGAATAGACCTAAATCTTCCAATGAATTGGCACTCACCCCCCATCTGGAGCGGCCTATCTGTGGCCGGCGGAATTTGACAAACTGGTGCTGCTCATGGAGGCCCTTCTCCTCACAGACTTTACACAGGTCATAGTCAGGGCACTCAACACACTTGAAACGTGGCCCACGGACAGAAGAGTTGCAACCGTCGCAAATGACCCCTGGGTGAAAGATGTCCTCCTCACGAACCCCTGGACCTCCATCAGTGTAATTATTCCCTCCACGGCCTGGGGTAACTACAGGGATAGAAACATTCATTCAGGATTGTTCAAAGTTAACACTATGTAAGTGCATATTCTGCCATAACCTGCATACACCTTGTATTGATTGTCATCAATTGTTATTTATGACAATAGTAACAATGGATTCAACTGATAATGCAAACCACAGGAATACGAGTTCACAAATTTGATTTAATCTTGTATCAATGCATCCAATCAAATCAAATACTTGTGTATTTGCATTTGATGTCTTTGGAATGAAAAAGAATGAGACAAGATTATTTATCACTAATGGAAATGGGGGGATATCAACTGACCTTTGATGTAGATACGGAAGATGTCTTCCTTCTTCTGGCCCAGAGCCTCCACAAGCTCCTCGTCACTGGAGAAAGTCACCAGGTCATCCTCAGCATCTGAAAGAAGTAGTTACAAAAAGTAGCAATTATGCAGGTGGATCAACTGAAAGTAAGAGTAACTCATGACTTTGAATCCACAAATGAGTAAGGACCTTTTACTTAAGAATTTATCATCCATTGAAATATGGCAAAGATAAACTTTAATCCAAATAGTTTGCATCTGGCATGTCACTGTTAGGATAAGGTTCTCTGACATTTCTGCCAACAAATCTGAAGTTCATGTTTGCATAGTGTGTACCACCAGTCACATAAAGAGTTGGAACATTTCATGCATTAAATATTTCAAACACTTCTAAGTTCTAAAGTTCATCCTCAGAAAATGTGAGTTCTTGACAACATCTAACAGTTCTGTATTTACAGCTTGAAAATAACTGTCAATGACTCAACCACACTCTCTGCCATTACATCATACTTTACATAGAACTGAACAAGCCAATTATTCACACTTGACTTATTGGCATGCTTGCTTTTTGACTCATACATATGCATGAGCAATGGCGGCTGTTTAATTTGTGCAGAGTCAGTGAATGAGCCTACTGGATGTACACATGTATGTATTTACCTTTCACCTACTGCTCACACAACAATGGATTAAGGTCATGTCATACATATTCATGAAAAATGGCTGCTCTTCTATTTTGCTGGTGTCATCTCTGCTGTTGCTTTGATGCAGCTGTTTAAAGCCCTGACATCTTACATATACATGTACTTCTTAATTTAAGGGGCAAAATGAAAGACACTCAAATTTGTAAAATCATGGGCATATGTTGTCCCATTCAATGTGACTCATTACTGTGGCTTAAGTTACATAAATCAACATTTTTAAACATTAAAAAAACAATTATAATGCTAAATTCTCAATAACTGTTAACTGAAAATAAACCTGTTCTTGGCAGTGGCGTAGCTAGGATTTTACTAATGGGGGGAAGGAGGTTACCAAGGGGGCACCAGCATCTTATGGGGTGGCACCAGCTTTCAGTGGTGTGTTTTTTGGGGGCAAGTTTATGTTAGCCTTGTTCAATATCCATTCATCCCTTTTTTAGTGGGGGGGGCACTAGGAATTTGTGTGAGAGGGCACGTGCCCCCCCCCCTGGTCCCCCTGGCTACACCACAGGTTCCTGGCTAGAATGAGGACCAGAAAATTCAGGTTTATGTTGCTCAGTGGACTTACCTTTATAGGCCAATGTAAAGTTGTCTGGGCGTCCAAGGGAAGGGAAAACATGAGCAACTGTCCTGGACAAGTACTCATAGTTAGTAGCAACACCCTGATCTAAAGCAAAACGTCGGATTTCTTTGTTGACGTTCTCCCCACGTTTCAGGTACGCCTTGACTGTCAGAGACATGTTCAGGTTTCACGTTCTGCACTTGTCTGTAGAGGCAAAGTAATAAACAGAATATTTAGAAATTGATTTATGCAATTAACATGAATTTTGCACAGCAAATGAAGCTTAACATCTGATTTTGATGCCTTTCAAGGCATGGAAAAATAACTCTCAAATTTGGTCAGCTATGTAACCTGTTAAGAAATATTTCACTCTGATTAACAGATTAAGTACTGCAGCACATTCAATTTATATTCCATGCATGCTATGTAAAAACTTTTCTATGATCTTATTTTGTATCATGAATAGTATCTTGCAGCTTCCTATCTAGACAATAAAGGTTTGTTGAAGTTTACAATGCATTCAGCAAGTGGGTATCAAATTGGTCATTTACGCACATTCTGGCACCACAGACCTGACACACTTTGCTTTCCTTTTCTCCGTTTGTTCTTTTTATATACATCCCAGAGTTAGGACACAATCTTTTTCAAAAATACACACACTGCAACTTTAGGTCACATAAAATGCCACTAGTTTGTAAAAACCATGTGCTTGATTGTTACAACTAATACAAATACAGAAATACTTTTGGTCAAACTCGTTAAGCATCACAATTTGGCAGACAGGTTTGTGTATAACTTGCTTACTTGTGGTAGTAAGCAAAAGCTTGGTTTGTCAGACTTCAAAGAACATTTGCAGTGAAATTGCACTATGACCACTTTTAACATGGCTTAAATTCTAACAAAATACAACATAAAACACAGTGAATAAACCCATCTGCATTACAGATTTTAGAAAAAAAAATGTGTTTACTTGAAAAAAATGTCTCTATGACTAGACCCGTGGAGGTAGGAAAATACTCAGTAACTTAAGAGTTCTGTATATGGACATCACTAATTTTTCCTTGCAGTGACATACACGACATATGAGCCATCAGTTGATATGTCTTACATGTCCTACAATGTCAAATTAAGCAAGGAACATACTTAAGTGTTTACTCAGAAAACAGATCAGTCTCATGGGGTTTGTGCACAGGGTGTCCAGTGATGTCCGTGTATGGAACTTTTTCTCGCATTACTTTGCACATGACCCAACGAGATGTACATGTACAGCTCTGCACTGAACATTAAGACTCGAGTGAGTTGGTTATTATGAAGGTGCATCAATCGGATCAAGAACTTACATTTCCTCGAACAAAACAACGGTAATCGTCCTGCAGAAAATCTCAGTGATGGTTGCTGGTGTCTGTTGAAATCGGAAATGATACGAGACTGGGGAAAGATGCTGTTTTTAAAGACACTCACGAATATTCTGGAAAACAACTTCGACGTTCACACAACAGTTCTCACAAGGTACTGTGTTTACATAACAAATGTCCGTCTAAATATAACGATTACATCACCATGAGTTTTACGTTTTGAAGGGCGACATTTTGGTGATATTTTATTTTTGAAATGTGTCAGTTTTGCATGAAATAAATGTCTTGTGCAATCAAAAATGGATGTGGTAGTAATCAGGTATTTTTAATTAAAGACACAATCGAAAACAATTGAATTGCATTCTTAGGATAAATTTTTGGCTGTGTACACCCACATGACGCCCTATGCATCAACGTTGTATAATGGAATGGTTCCAGACTTCGGAATCAGTGGATGGAGTTGACTCGTCGCGCGCGCTCTGCCTAGCCATACACGGAGAAAATTTGAAATAAAAGAAAATCCTTTTCTGGGGGGGGGGCTCAAAGGAGAAGAAATAGCCTTAATTTTGCAAACTAGAAGTTGCCACAAAACTCAGTCAAACTGATTTTGATATTGACCTGATATATTTGGCCCAACTTCAGTGCTACATTTGAATACCCCAAATCACATTATTGTTTTTGTATGCCAGCCATCTATCAGAAATTTGGCAACACATCTGGATTTATTCGAGTGAGAGTTTATAATTTGTTAGTAACAAAATTATGTTTTGATATTTTTGAACAATGATAATAATGTTGGGGATCACAGCACATTCTGTGGACTCGAGTTTCAAGGTGTATATGGATCAAAAGTTATTTATATTCACTCACAAATACTTACATGTTCGAACTTTCCTCTTTTTAGACATTATTATTTGTATCTAAAATTTAATGCTCCAACTTCATAATTTTACTTGAAGACCCAGGCACATTAATGGTCAGGCTGGTTTGTCACTGGAGACCTATTTGCTAGTATTTACTTCAACTCCGAAGGTATGGAAAGCCTCCACAAATTATTTGGGAAGCCCGTTCCAATATGTCAAAGTGCGGGGGGAAGAATCCACACCGTTATTTGCATTTAACACAACAGTGGTAGTGTAGCAATTTTCAGCTTGAAGTAAATCGTTCATACATAATGCGCGTTCGTTCCTTCTCGTAAACCCAAAATGTGTTATTTTAACCATGCTAAATAACTGGGTCATTCAGCTGCTTGGCCCGACGGATGCATGCAGCGTACGTGGTGCAGGTGCTGGGGATACAAAATGCTGACAAGCGCCACCTCGTGTGCATGATGCAAGCGTTCAGCACCCCGTAGCCCTGCCCCATTGCCTAATACAACAATAATTTGCATATTGTTGTTAAACACATGACGCAAAATCGTACGATGACAGCGCACGATCTGATTGGTCCGATTCTCGTGGTCTCACTCTGTTTTTCTGGGCAGTTTGCGTAGTATGATTCACCGTGCGCGTGTACATGGTAAAGCAAAGGGAAAAGTGGTGAATTAGTTGAAACCATGGCGGATCAGCTGCAACAGTGGCTGTTTTCGTCAGATCCTTTAGGGGATCTAGACCCAAATTTACAGTCTCCGGGTGGTAGCGATGTTCTCCTCGACGATATTGACGGTATGTGATTTTTTTCTTGCTTTTCTTGGCTCAGTTTGGGGCGGGAACACAGTTTGTTTATCGATGCAAAGCTCCGCCGATCATGCGCCGATTAAGTCGATCGTGACGCGTGATGCAGATATGGATGCGAGCCTACGTTACAGTCATGACACTGATAGTGTAAGTGGTAACATTAGGGCTCATTTGTAGCCTAGGCCCTACAATGATTCGATTACCAATTGAACATTTTTATGCTTAAAATTATTTTACTGCATATGTCTGTTTTTTGTAAGTTTAATTCAGAAGTAAGCAAAGTTGTTACCATGGACGTGGTGGAGGAATGTACAATGTATTTGGTGGTTAAAGTAGGACTACGGTAGTCTGACTGTAGTGTACCTGTACTTAAAAAAGTAATGATGGGGTCCTCACTATCTTGACCTGATGACCGTGGCTGCATACTGCTATCGTAACATGCCAACATTAAGGCCGGTGTGGCGGTCTCAGCTGTCTCCCGGTCTCAGCAGTCCCCCTTACCAAATATGGTAAAAATACGTCATGCCATCTCTGCGCACAACAGGAAAGGGCACAGAAGACCAACGAGACCGTGCGTGTTTCGTGCTGAAATGTCCGGCTACATCAGGGGGGACCGCTGAGACCAGGAGACAGCTGAGACTGCCACACTGGTTCATTCTTGCTGCGTATTCACTATTTGAGGTGTCTGCAGTGCGTGAACGAAAGCGCAGTACATAATGGAAATGCGCGCCCTTGCAGAAAGTAATGGATAGTGCATATGCACCAAATGAATGCGTATTCGCACTTTTATTGGACACACACACGCAGTCAAGACTTGAGAACATGAAAGTACAAACGTCAAATGTGGCGTTCACATTACGCGCTGCGTATGTGCAAACACGGCGAGCATGAACCAGCCCTTATGATCATGTGCAAAGTTACCAACACTCCGGCAAGGAAAGAGTTCCGTATACGAATAACACCAGATGCCTCAGTGCACAAACCTGAGACTTGTCTCCAGAAGTGTTGTGTAAGGAAATGCTTCAGAATTTTCTTTGCAGAAGCTCACTTTTTGGGACATGTTACCACTTTCTTACAACTGTTAACAACATTTTAAGGGAAAGTTTGTGTTGTCAGTCGGTCAATGCATGTGGAACCCTTTCCATAGGGAGTTTTACCGCTGCAGGAGAATTTGTTTATTTACAGCTGAATAATGGCATTTTTGTGAAGCCAAACGGAGCTGCCTCATATGACCTTATTCAGTCTGTTTCTGGGTCTTGTTTTGTTTTTATTTTTATACACGTTCCTTGGGGTAACAGTTAGCTATTGTCCAGATAAGCATTGACATAAGCCTGCAAGCCCTTCTTTGTTTTGTTTTTTCCCAAGAAGTTCTTTTTCCTCTCCATGTTACGACTCCTACAGAAGTACTTGAACAAGCCATTGTTACAAGACTGGCAACGTCAAATTTGTGCTGTACTTGGGGCTAGCAGATTGAAAACAAATTGAAAAGAGCCTTTTTTCCCCCCAAATCAAAGCAGTTCTTTCTGGCTGTTTGGGGAATAATTTGTGCTTGAAACAGTTGAATAATAGTAATGCCCACCATATGTAGGAACTTTGTTCAACATAAAATGATTATGTCAGAACTTGATTAATTAGTTTTCATTCTGTTGACAATCTTTTCCCCAATTTATAGTTTTAGGTGTCATTTCAATCTTCTGGGAATTTTGGGCACCCTGTGTTTCACGGTGTATGTGTTGGCCAGCTTTCCATGTTAGCATGTAATCTTAGTGAAGACAAAGGAAAGAATTCGCTGCTTGACACCCTTTGCACAAACCCAAGAGACTAGTCTGAAAAATTTTAAGTGCTTTTCAAATGAATGCCTCTGTGTTTCCTCAGCTAAATTTGACGTTTAGGTCATGTTGCTGCTTTCAGATGGCTAATAGGTAACTGCAGGGAAAATAAGTGGTGTCCATATAGAATTCTTTCCTAGACTCTTATTTTGGCCTACATTTGTTGCACGTTGAACAGTTAATGGGCATACCAGATGATTTCCTGTTGTGGGGGAAGGGGGGTTATATGTATTCATCAAAGAATTAGCTGTAACACTATTGCAGAAGTTTTAATTAAGTATGACGTGGAATATATCCACCCATGCCAAATCCAATTGGAGACTTTAGTTTTAGACTCTAGTGGCAGCAAACACACCTGTGATTTTTACACCACTGCTCATGCTCACAACTATGTGCGCATGCCCAGAACTGGTAAAAAGGACCAGTATGTTTACCGCCACCAAGCATTTTAAAGTGTCCCTTAAGATTGTGTGATTTATACTGTCAAATGTTAGGGTGAACCCTAATCATGCCAAACTTGGTCAAATCCAACCTTGGTCACTTCCTGTAGATTTAAGATGATGCAAGCAGTAAACAAAAGGGCTTTTGGAGTCCCTCGGGGTCTGGAGGGTGCCTAGAGGAAAAAAAGAGGTTAGGAATAAGAGAAACTCTGTTTAATAGTACTCTGAGGATAAACATCTTTATATCAGCATGTCTTTTGGAGACCGGAAATCCCATTTTCAGTGCAAAATCTTGAGAGATCCGGGCTAAAACCTAGGAAACAAAAACAGAACACCTGCTTGTGTGGACTAAATACAAATACTCAAAACTTGTTGAATCGGTAAGCACCAATCAGCATCATAGAATTCTTAACAGTCACTCTTGTAAATGGTGAAAACTGCTGTCTGTCTCTAGAACCTGATCATGAAAAGTTCACTTACTTGTGAATATGCAGTCATCAAGTTATTGAAATAAAAAGATGAATAACTGGACTCCAGTATTTATTGCCAGAACTGCATTGAAACAAGATTCCTTAGTATAAGATGGCAGGGGAAAAAGAGATTGTTGTTCCGGGTCAAAAATAGCACCTAGTTGTGAGATCTGCCAAAGGGCAGCTTTTACGTTTTTGTGCATTCCTTTTATTGGTTGCTCACAGTATCACAAAGAATCCCATCCCTGCCTTTTGATGTTCGTATATGAAGGCCTATCAAGTAGATATCTAGCCAGGCTGTCTCGCATGTCAGTGTAAACAACCTCGGAGGAAATTATATCCTGAATAGGGTGGCCAGTTATTGAAATGTAAACAATGGCCCTGGGACCTGACAGAGGGCAGGTGAGGAGATATGAAATGGGGGAATCTGATCATACCAACTGTCAATGGCCTATAGAGATACTTCCAGGCATTAATCAATGTGTCATGCAATAGTGACCACCACCCCTCTCTTTGGATATTTGCCAAAGACATCCAAGGAATTTACTTGCAGTCTGTGGATGCACTGTGTGTGTGTGTTTTAACATGTAGTATCTCTACAGTAAAATGACGCTGCCTCCTGTGTGACAGTTCAATTTTGCATTTTTTATAGTACTTCACAAATTTTGTTCGGAATGTTGTTTCTTCAGGGAAAGTGCTGTGCACTTCTCCAAACGTGACATTTCAGGAGAAAAACGGGTATTGATGACTTGTTTGAAAAGGCTGAGAGTGTACATTGATAGCCGCCTTTAGAATGCTAGATGAGAGAGCTGTTACTTGAGACATCATAGCCCGGAAACCTTGCTGAAATCCTACCCTGTATTTTGTTCATCTCTATTCATTTCTGTATTTTTGTTCTGGCAACATGAAGGCAAGGTCCATTTCATAATGGTGCTTCACTGCTTGGTTTCTCCAGTACAAGTACATAAGAACCCAGGTTGTTCTATGAGTCCCACTTCCTCCTGTATTTCACTGGAGTCCACATCAAACCTGGGAGCACTTTTGCCAAAGCAAGATACTATTTTGATACACTTTTTCAATGATAATCTTTCTCCACAGATGTTATCAAATATGAATGTCCAGATGATTCTCTTCTACTTGATACCTCCTTGGGATCGGCCAATATCAATGATTCTGGCTTTCTGTCACCGGACTCACATTTTGACATGCTGTTGACATCTCAAGCTTCAAGGCTTCAAGATCAACAGCAGCAACAGCAACTTAGTCCAGTGCAAGTGTCCCCCAATCAGACGGTACAGCCAGTCGTCACACAGCAGATTCAGAGTCAGCTCCAGGTCCAGCAGGCAGAAAAGGAGCAGCTACAGAACCAACTGCAGCAACAACAGCAGCAGGCCACTGTGCAGATACAGCAATTGCTGCAACAGCTTCAAAAGCAAGCACAGCGTCAGGCCCAGTTGCAAGAACAGCAAAAGCTGCAGCAGCAACAGCAAATTCAACTCCAGCAGCAACAACAGTTGCAGCAGCAACTTTCACCCACAACACCTTTGACTGTTCAGCAGATAGTGCCACAGTCATCCACCCCTAGCTCTCCTAGCACCCTTAGCACTGTTGCTACTTCTCCTGTGCCAACTACAAGTAACACAGTGACAAACAAAACAGTGGTGGCATCGCCAACGATTCAGTCACTGTCTCTCACCCCACAAGTGTTGCAAACATCATCAAGCCCACAGCTTACAGTCCAGTCGCCTAAAATAGCTGTCTCTCCAACTAAGCCAGCTCAGCCAGTCACAACGAGTTACCAACAGGTAAATTTACCATTTAAATGAATTGAATGTATGTTGACTGGGGGTACAGGAACCTTGATGGTTGGAATCTCAGACGTTGTTAATGTTCAAATATTGACAATTGATTGCATTTCATAATCTTTATTGTTCGTATCCCAGAACAAATGTGCGTCCAGATTTTGCAGTATCAGTCCGGCAACTCTCAATTTAATTTAGACTGTTGAATAGGGCTTGATTTATTTCTTGTGCAAGCATTTGTCATTGAAGTATTGTTCACTGTTGAATTTGGAATGATTCAGGAAGTGGGGTGGCTAATGGGAAAAACATTCTGTATAGATCCATTTTCTAAAACACGTTACCTTTTTAAACTAAATGCTACCGGGGGAAAAAAATCACCAAAAATGCAGGGTTCAGGGCTTGAAATTGGGGTAATCATCACAGGAGCAAGTACTTGCTCCCTAGACAACTGAATTTGTCACTTATGGGAGCAAGTAGCTCCCAATACAATATTAAAGACATATGTTCAAGAAATAAAGGAAAGACCCTGGTCCTTGCTGTTGCTTTTGTTGTTATAACATGCATATGCACACAGACGTAAAAGGGAACTAACTGCTGCAATCGAGTGTTTGAAACGAGAAGATTAGGCTGAGACTTTGGTTTCGCTGGTTCCAGCTATTTTGGTGCATGACTAAAACCAGCGAAACTAAAGTCTAAGCCGAATCCATTTGGCTTGAATTTACGCACGAGGGGCCAGTTTCCATACAGTCGTGACACTGGCTGCAGGTACATGTGAGGCTGCGGCGTGCGCTCTGTGACATCGTAAACAAAATTTTCCCGTGTTATGGATCCGTACAAGGCTGATCCGAGGGAAATAAAAAGTTCAAGTATGTTTCATGACAAAAGTAGAAACAAACGGTAAATATGTTCAGGTACATGGAATCAAACGGGCGTAAGTACTTGCACCCGTCATTATGATTTACGGGCGCATTTCTGAGGCCAGCGGGCACATTTTAGCTACCTGCGCCCGTTAATTTCGAGCCCTGGGGTTACATTTTGTTATTTGGTGGTGATTTTTGTGACAAGTGCCTGTCAGATTGAATACTGTACATGCTTAACAGCATTGTATAATCACCAGTTGAGTGTTTCAAGAATGATTGAATTTAGAAAGTAGATAAAACATACCACTTCTTTCTTTCTTTCTTTTTTCAAGCCAACAGATAACAAAATGTGTCAGTGCCATAAGTTTGTATTTTCGGTAATGTGTTGAATGAGGAGTTACAGGTTCCCTGCAATTGTGTAGCTTCAGTTGGAAAACTGAAAACAGATTTAGGGTCGATGTTGTTTTGTGGCTGTTACTGTATAAGGACTGCAGTGTTTTTCGTGGCCTTAAGTTGAAAGCTGTGTACCTTTACAGGTTGTTGTTCCGACTCAGATCATCAAAGCTGAATCCACCAAGTGTGTACCGGTCGTCTCTGTTACAAGTGCTTCGGTCCACATCAATGATGATGGTGCAGTCATCACAAGCATTCCCATGGTGGTGGACAATGACAAACTGCCTATCAGCAGACTGACCTCAACCCGTGCCGAAGCTCCACCCCCCAAGAAGGGAGAGAAGAGGACAGCGCACAATGCCATTGAGAAGCGTTATCGTTCCAGCATCAACTCTAAAATACAAGAGCTCAAACAGATGGTGGTTGGACATGATGCAAAGGTTAGTTTCATCTAGCCATTTGATACTGGTTTTGGAGATTACAGCAGCTTTTGTTCTAATGATTTAGAAGCAGCATTTAAGTAGTTTAAAAGTGGTTTTCATTACCTTTTTGATATCTAGATCCAGAAATCGGGCATTCTTCAGAAGGCTATAGATCACATCAAGTTCCTACGCAACACCGTCAACAAGCTGAAACAAGAGAACATGGTGCTGAGGGTTCAAGCAGAGAAAACCAATCCATCTAACACACTCTGTAAGTTCATTTCTTTCCAGCAGCTACCAAAATCCCACCTTGTTTTTTTTTTTAATTTACTGGAAAATTTATGCAATAATAACTTCCTTCGTTCCGTTAACACTTTCATAAAGTTCAAGATATGCCATATATGACTATCTTTTTGAAGAGTCTGAAATATTCTTTGCCTTCAAATACAGTGAGTGACTCCATCAAAGTGAAGACTGAACCAATGACTCCACCTCCTTCTGATACCAGCTCACCACTCCGCAGTCCCATCAGCAGTACGTCAGATGTAAGCAGCCCGGACATGTGTGAAGAAGAAGCCATGGAACAGAACTTCCCCTACAGCGAGGAGGACGACTTCAAGACTGAGCCTCTCAGCCCCAGCGGTCTGCTGGACCGAACCCGTTTGGCTCTCTGTGTCTTCATGTTCTGTTTCCTTGCCTTGAATCCCCTGGGGTTCTTGTTTGACCCGGCTGGGTCTTCTACAAGTACTTTTGACAGACCGCATGGACATGGGCGCACCATTCTTGCCGAAGAAGGTATGGAGATCTGCACGTGGTAAATTTCAAAAACGTAATTTGTATAAATATCGTTGCTGAATTTATTTTTGGTTTGAGGAATTGGCTTTTTAAAAGTGGAATTGAATTTTTTTTCTGTGAAATACAGAGACCATTGAACAGACATGGTTTCAGTGGCTGTTGTCATCTTGTCTGGTGTGGTTCATCAATGCAGCGGTTGTCATAGGCTTCTTAGCAGGTGTCTTCATATTTGGAGAACCTGTCACCAAGTCACACAGCGAGGCATCAACAACCTTCTGGAGACACAGGAAACAGGCTGATCTAGATCTTGCCAGAGTGAGTGGCTCCCTGTCGATTTCCTCAGTGATTCAATTGGTTCTAATAGACTCCCTCATGTCTGTCTCAAAGAGATGGATTTCCATGCACTAACATAAATAATGTGTGCTTTTATAGGGAGACTTTGCTGCTGCTGCCAGTCAACTACGGACCTGCCTAACCGCCTTGGGACGCCCTCTTCCAACTTCCAGGTTGGACCTGTTGTCGTCCCTTACATGGAACCTAGTACGTCATGTTCTAAACCGCCTTCTGATTGGTCGTTGGCTGGCCACACTTGCCGGTGGTCTTCGTAGGAAGAGGGAAGGAGAGAAGTGTCTTGATGGCAAGGCGTCTGCTCGCAATGGAGCATTGGTCTACCATAAACTCCATCAGCTTCACATGGCTGGTAAGTCACATTTCAGATTTTTCTAGTGTGAAAAACGTGTTGGCCTATTCCCACATTATATTGCATATATATGCTTAGGGTAACCACTGTTAAAGTACAACACCTCACAGTCATTTTCCTTGTTTCTTCGAAGTGCACATTATAGACTAAAGTTTTAATTTTATTGTGTGCTAATCCAGGTTACTTGACGGATGGTGACTTGTATGCTATCAATATGGGTCTTTGTGCCATGAACCTTGCTGAGTGCACTGGCGATACCATCAGTCCAGCTACATTGACTGAGATCTATGTCACTCAAGCCCTCTGCTTCAAGATCAGACTTGGAAGCAGGCTGCAAGTGTTCTCGGTAAGTGAACATTGCATGAGATTTACTGTGCTTATTGACTTGATTTCATGGATTTCATCAAGAAGGCATCCTTCATCAGTATTGTAGAGGAACAGTAGCATGTATTTTTTTTCAATTCCTTTTTCCTACACCTGTTTTTTGATGGAATGCCACCCATGATGTTTGTTCCAGAGATATTTCCTGAGCCGTGCTCGGCACATTGGAGCTGGTGGTTCTGAGTTGCCATCGCTGCAGTGGTTGTTCCATCCCATGGGCTACCATTTCTTCCTGTATGGCACTTGGACCTGTCAACCCAAAGAGAGTCTCTACAGCATTGCTGGAAATCCAAGTAAGACTACAAACAAGTTTATCACTTGAGTATAATTGAATATGGAAAGCCTTCCTGTCAGCAATTGATGGTGAAAACCTTCGAATACTGGATAATGGCTTTGATTACTAATAGATTGACTTTATTGTCTTCCATCATAGCTGATCCACTGTCCTTTGTCAGCCAGGCTTATAGAGAGCATCTCTTGGAGAAGGCTGTCTATTCCTTGGAATCTCCAACTTCAAACCCCTCTTCAAGAAAAGCTAAAGCCGAAAGGTAAAACTTTAGCAAACATTTGCGACAGGCTCTGAAACTGCACATCATCCAAAGCAAATCCACTTACAATCTCACAGACGCAAACTGGGGAAGGTTTACAATGTCCAGATTTTTGTAGGAAGAAATCAAGCACAAAGAATATCATAGGTGAAGCGCACTTTGATACAGAAACTTGTATAAAGAAAGATCTCCTAGGTTTTGAAGTACTTGACAGTGTGTGCATCCAAGGTCAGAGATTTTTGTTTCAGTTTTGGTTGTTGATTAATTTTATTTTATTTTTTTTAAACTTCCTCAGTGATCCTCAATGTTCTGAAACACTCCAGTACCTTCAGCTTCTGAGTGAGTGCTCTGATGCAGCCAGCACCCCAAGACAGGCCTTTGCCATTGGCTCAAACATGTCTGCTGCTTCAGGTAAATTTCACAGATACCAAAGAATTCTGAAGCACAAATGCAAAAACTGAAGTTGATATCATTGAGAACCGAGTTGTCTACAGTGAGATTTAGTACTTTCACTTTCGTCACTCTCTTCTAACGCTCCTTTGCCCTCTTCTTTACAGGTGCTGATCCTGTTTCCAAATGGTGGTGTAACATTGTCTTTGTGGCTGTGTACTGGCTCCTTGGAGATGATGCTGCAGCGGAGAGGCTCTATTCTGCATTGGAGTGTCTGCCACAACAGCTGCACAGTACAGAGTAAGTTCAGTGGCTTTCGCAAAAATTGTCTTGTGGTTTATGTTGAATGGGCTATAGTTTGCCACTTTATGGCATAAGCCTTGGCTTCCTGGTTAGCTGAAGTGTTGATGGTCATCCCTGAGTTTGACAGATTAAGATCGCAGCTGAAAGTTCAGAATGTTACCAGTATTTCCAACAGAAGTCGGCTTTCATTCTACTCCTGGTCACATGTAACATTGAAACAAATTTGTTTATATTTCGGTGGTCAAAGGAAGATAACTCCTCGACGGTGTCCTACAACTGAACTAAATTTGTGTATTTGTTTTATTTGCTGCTGTCTTTGCAGGGACCCTCTTCCCAAGGCCACGCAGTTAGCCTTCAAAGCCAGGAAAGCTTTCCTCAGCCCAGACAGCAACAGGAAAGACCCCATGCTGGATGAGTGCATTTACATCTGCAACAAGTCCAGTGCACATCTGAAGAGCAGTCTCAACTACTCGGGGCAACAGCGCTGTGAGAAAATCACACAGGTAAGTGGTCGTCATTCTCTAAAAGCAGATAGTCAAAATGACTTTAGAACACAGAAGAATTCCGTGGTCATATATTGTTATCAATTCCCAAAACAAACCATGCCAGGAGGCGCACTCTGAAATATCAGCAGAGGAACAGATTTCATCTCCTTTGAAGTAAAATGTAGAATGACTTGCTTTGGTATGCATTGAAGAGTTTAACCAGCAAGTGAAGAGGAGAGCACCAGCTGTTGGAATGCTGCTTGTCACCCTGGTGCATTGTAGTTGCATTGCATTTACCTCTGAATATGCAGTGCATCTGCAAAGCAACAGTGTGTCAAGACTTGGCAACAGGGACGCTGTGAGGATGGACAGCCAACTAGAAAACCAGCTGACGACACCAGCAAAAAAGGGAACACTGCATGAAGTGACGGTTTTGCATAATTAATTGATTGATTAAAAAGAGCCTTGTTTCTCTCTCCAGGCACTGCAGGTGTTGGTTTGTGACTGGCTTCTGTCGACACGTACAGCTGTCTGGCAGAAGCAGCAAGGCTCGTCAAGTGTGCAGGTTGTCCCCATCTCCCCTCAAGAGCTCTCTTCCTTCCAGCAAGATCTCTCCTGCATTCGTAAACTTTCCACATCTATCAAGGCAGCTGTGCCCAGGGTGTATGTGTACCAAGCCACAGCTAGGCTGATGGCTGGGGCACACCCTGCCAAGACCCAGCAGCTTTTGGATAGAAGCTTGAGAAGACGGGTCACTAATGCTTACTCCAGCATGAAAGGTATGTGATGAAATTATTGCCCA